GTAAAAGTGGTGGGGTAAGACCCTTTGTCCAGGGTTGGACACACACACACACAGACCGGTCGGCATGAAAATGAGTACAATGGGTCTCTCGTGCGGCCAACGAAGCCAAATGATAAGTTGTCTGACATCATGTTTGGCTTTCGCCAAGGGTCTCATGGCCACTCATCCCAACTTCCTCCAAGATGTTCAGCTGGTCAGCTTCCACTGAACAACCTGCATCCGACAAGCGTCCACTGAAGCCTCGGCGAAGGTCTTCAGCTGCCTCGTCTGCCATCATAGAGTTCAGCCGATCTAGCTCCTGGACGTCAACAGCCACGGCTTTGTTCTACATTGTGCTATCTTGGGGTGGTCAAATGACATGGGTGGGCACCCTTTGGCACTTCAAAGTTTTAACATCGAGCAAATGGCAACGTATCCCGGTCTCCATCGCAATGGTTCCAACCACGACCAGAATGATGCACTCCACAGCAAAAAGCCAGTTTTCCTCGAAGAATACATGGCCCATGTTCACTTTACCAGCGTAGCTCACATTGCACAATACAGTGATGCCAATCACTGCAAACTTCTGCAAAGGAGATTTGTATCCACCTCACATGCCCTTTTGAGCCATGGTCCCAAGGATTTTCGTGATTTTACTAAAGGATACCCGTATATACCCGTAGAAAGCGTGCTGAAGTGCTGAAGCCTTAAAAGTCTGTTCCAAAGTCGGCTTTAGCAAGGTGAGCCACCACACTGACCGAAGGACAAAGAAAGGAGGAAAAACATGATGAATGGGATGATCAGGATGGTGACCGGCAAGATGCATTTCCTCACAAACCCCAGTGGCAACAGCAAACCTGCGGAAAAACTCCAATGGTTGATGAAGAACATCCGAAGCAAGTAGGCCCAGGCATTGAAGTCCTTGGAGAAACCAAAGCCGCAAAACAAAATAGTAGACAAGTGGACAACAGCTGAGTATATTGCAGCTCGTCAAGTACATAGAGCACCTCAAAACGAAACAAAAACGCGACACATTCAAGATTGAGCTTCACGTGATGTTGCATTGGTGATCGGCTTGTTCGAAGTATAAGCCAGAAACGCCTCATACACGCACCAAAGCCTTGAGTAGATGCTACATCTGCGATTTGGGACCGCAAGGACATGCTTGCAGGAGCCCAAGGCCTTCGCAAAGGGAGATTCTTCAGGTGTAGAAATCAAATCGGCAATGTCCATGTTTTGTGGATTCGATAAGAAGCACACATAGGCCGCTCGCCCACCTCGTGGCCAGCTTTGAACCACTCTGTCCACGAATTCATAAATACCTTCAGCCCAAGCGTGAGTGATGAACACGTCGCACGGTAAGCCATCGGGATTCTTCATCAACGCCTCACTTGGCCAGCTTGGATTTGAAGCAACATACCTACTCAGGGCCAAGTCTTTTCGGCAGTGCGATTGGTTTCATGTGAAGGTGGATGTTGGAGGTGTCTGCAAAGGGCGGGCGAGGAGGGAGTCTCAAGATCCACTTTGGGTGCGTTTGTGACCTGGTAGGGCACAACAAAATCGGCACCTTCAAGGCTGGAACTATTTTCTCCCCTGACATTCACATCCTTTAACTAGACTTACTTGAAAGCCTCTGATACGTACTCCGCGAAAAATAAAACCCATTTTGGTCAGCTGAGACGCCCAACTGACATTTCCAGCAGCGGCGGTCACTGGCTTGATGTATTGCTTGGTGACGGTATACATCGACGGGCCGAAGGTATAGTCTTTGGGGTCAAAAGGATCCATCCTGCAGTCTTGCAGCACTGACAGCGACTCGCACTTCAATAGGAGGTACAGGAGTGCCAAATTTCACACCGGTTTTCTCAGACTTAACCCCCTAACAGCACAAGTACATACAAATGCACGAATTAGAAGTGTTTTTCTTTCACCTGGTCAGTCTCTCAAGCTCATTTCGGTGTGCGTTTGCGGACATGTTTGGAGTCATTTGCTTGGACTGTTTCTTGGCAGGAGAAGGTACTGCGGCATCAAGAACTCCAACAACCCAAAATAGAAAAACATAACATGTGCTCAGCCAAAGGCAACCCACATTATGGACTTGCTGCACGCAAACGAGCTTCCAAACAAAAGGGAAAACACTGGAGTAACAAATTTATACAGTGTATGATCAGTGTATGCATATATGAATGTCAATTAATATGCAATTGTTCCATATAGAGGTGTTATGGCTCCCGAGCAAGGCCTAAAGAACTGTGTGTAAGGTTGTTTGCAATAGTGCATGTATTTGTGACGATCATTTTGAGGGGTACGGTACCGCAACCTTCACATCCCGACATCCTATAAAACTCCTCGTGGTTCAGATTATGAATTGCCCACACCCACAAACACAAACAAACAACTGCGATTGGTTGGGTTGGCCTCCTGCATAGGTAGTTTGTTGTTTTGGGTTTGCTGAGCAGGCAGCATGAAAAACTAAAGGGGCTCATTTGTCTGTGCTTATTTTGTTAGAATGTGCTATCATGAGTTTAAAATAAATATATAAGAATGACATACTATCGTGAGGACGCCGCTCAATAAAGATGAACGATGCGCAAGTGGTGGCTGCTTCTGGGTGGCTGGCCACGCTCAAGCAAATGGCACTCTCCCCAGAAGGGGGTTTATATGGACCCCCATATTTATTAAACAAACATACATCTTCGGGTTTGGGTCATCTACACTGAAACCAGTGTATAGCAGTATAGCATCTGTTTTTTTAGCGTGGTGCGTGACGTTTTGTTGTTCAAGATTGATGAGCAAACAAACTACAGGAGTTGAGATGATACCGGTGCACGGTTTAGGAAAAACAACTGAATGGCAAACAAAATAACTGCGTAACACACATACGCCAAATGTATTGAATAATAAGTTTGCATGTGCATTCTAGATTAGTTCTAGGTTTGCATGGCTCGTCCGCTTATGACTCATTGTGATTCATTGTGTCCAAATTGCCCTCACATCTCACATTTAGCTCTTTGTGTTTGTTTGTGGCTTCAAACCCTAACCACGAAGGATATATAATCTCTATATATAGTTTATCAAGACTTGTGAAGCTTATATAAGTGCTCCTCTAATCACCTTGTCCGACTCTGCCCCCGCTCACTCTTGTCTGGCTTTCTCTTCCTTTTTTGTCATGGTTCTTTCTCATCCTGATCTTCACAAGTCAATTCTTCTTTCAAGGTTCTCTCTCGGTCTAGTGGCTCTAGTGGCTGTTGAACTTCCAGGCATACATGTAGATGCATATATATATATCATATAGCCCTTTAAAAAGCACTTTGTGTTGCCATCTGTCCTTTCCTTTCGCTAGTTAAACAAAAATAAACATTTGTCTAGGGTGACAAAGCCATTGACGAACATGGAGGACTAACCACAGTAAGAACAATGTGGTTATTAAATCATTGAATGCTTGCAGAAAAATGCAAGGCATTCCTCAAGACCAAAACAAATAACAACCTACAAAGGAAGACACTAGGATGGTGGAAGGGTTGTTTTTAATAGAGCAGTTCATTAAGGGGAGTAGTTAGTAGTGAGTCTAGCTAACTAAACCAAGACAGGCAACACAAGAATTAAACAAGGCAAAGCATTGTTTGAAGAGGGGAACAGCACAGGAGCGTCTCGAAATGGAAAGTTTGAAGTAAGGTGTTCAAACCGTGGACAATTACCATCAAGACCTAAATAAAAAGACTATAACAGGCAACTGTAAATTCTCCTAGTTCGATCACTAGTTCGATCCTTTCGTTTCGCCTTCCGGCCTGAGCTCCGTAGTTCTTGTTCTGCCCGCATAACAGCAGTATTAGTTTTTCTTTTGCTAAACACACATTGCAAACAATGTGCGCGAAGCTGGCGGAAAAAACACCTTGAATAAAAGTGAGAACAGTTCTTGTATATTGACATGTTGCTCTTGAGCATTCACACGTCAACATCACATCAGATCAAGGAAAAAGAACAAATGGCGTTTCCTGAATCACACAGCCAAAGAAACAGCAGCGAAAGCCTGACAACGCACTCCAAACGTAGGTTTTGTGAGGTGATCCCAAAAAAACATACTGTGTTACATATACATATATATATATATATGATGCAAAGCCCAAGGCTCTCAGTAGGGCAAATGCGACCCTCACTGACGGCTTGACCAACCAGCCGCTTGAACTGTTTGAGATCATCCAGGCTAACACACCAGCGGTCCATTGGAACTTCTGCCTCGGCACGAGAGCAACACTTAACAAGTTGAAACACATATCCTTGCCTTGCGACCAGCCAGCCTAGAGGATAGAGCCAAAAAGAAACTCAGCAAAGTTGAAAGCAACTCTGACTTCGGCGGGTGAGGTGCGTGCAGCTTGGCGCCATCATGGACCAGTGGTGAGTTTTCAATGGCAGAATCCCCACACTTGATTTTTGAAAGTTGAGGTTGCCTGTAGTGAATCACCAAGGTAGTCAGCAAGATGCAAATCAAACTTATTGATGAGCTGACCTCTGCAAAGGTTCGGATCGGTGCTTTTTGTGGGCCACATGCACTGATGCCGCGTCCAGGACAGCATCCGAAATGGACATCATATCCTTTCCAAGGAATACGGTCAAACTGTGGCCAATAGCCTTCGGCACACGGACACTCCTCAGAGGAGCTCATCCTTGCTTGAATTGGCAACAAGTGTCTATACCTCTACCTCCAAATCTATATATAAACACTCAAATTTACACTGCTATAGAATATTCCTTTGCGGGTCGCAAACTTGATCCACCGAAAATCATCAACATCTAAGCCTTAAAACAGATTAAAATAGAAGCTGAACAAAGAGTCCACCTCTAAGCTGCGATGAAATACAACGCACTCCACGTTGAACTGAACAACATGTATTGCACAACATGCAGTTGAACATATTTGAACAGCTTACTTGGCTGAAGAGACAACATGTGTCATGTATCCCCAAAGCTTCCCGCCCACCTGTCAAAAACGTATCCGACAGCCAAAGTGAGGATCAAACATAGAGACCCTGGATCTTGGCATAGGTCTGTGCGAAATCCTGCGCATCTCTTTCCCTCACTCGACCTCACCAAGAAGGAAACGAGGAAGAAACTGGCCAAAGTCATTCGCCCTGGAACTCGTGGTACGACGACTCCCACCTTATTGGTGAAAGTCGAAGAAAGCGCTCCCTCCTTGACTGCCCTGCCCAAAGCTTCTTGAGCCAAAAATGCGGGCGGAACTACTCGAAAGGCACAAATCTATCTCTGGCAAACTATCTCACAAAGACTTGGGTAGGCCACCCATGGCATGATGTCTTCTCATGTCGCTGCCCCCTTTAGGATCCTTTAGGCACTTTAGGCCAACTTCCGGAGGGTGCATCCCACGAGCGGTAAGTAGCATCAACTCCTGGGGTGTTCGCACGGAGCCCACGACCAGTCGAAGTCAACTAGGTTTGCTCAGTGGATGGCTTTCTAGGAAAAATCCCCAAACTTATTTATTGCTGTGCACAGAGCCCATCTGGGATTTTCAATAAGACAACAATTCGTGGATGTGCAGGGATTACTATGTTGTGGGGGATTGAAGCAATTGACTCAATCTGCCAACTGTTCCCTTGAAGCAATTCATAGGATTCGACCCAAGTACGCAGTTCCACACATCTGATCTTCCCTCGTCTTTGTGCGTTTTGCCAACTCCCCGATCTGACCGGTTCTGAAAGCATACACCAGCGATCTGACCGATGTCTGGGACAAAACACCATGTTGAAATTCCCTGGAAAACCTCTCCTGTGGGACTGGGGCGTCTTTGCATCGCCCACAAGGTTCCTTGGCGTTGAGATATTTGGAGGGTCCATGAGGTAAAGAACACCTTCCAGTCCCATGGGGCCCGGGGCCCCATAGCGGCTAAAGGACCGTCTGCTCCGTCCCCCTGACTGTCTGCCGTTTTGACCTCCTTGGCCTTGGCGTCGCGGGTTTTTCGTGCTTCCTTGAGCGCATGCATCTTCCGCTGGTCCACTAGCTAAACAAGAGCCACGTAGAGACTCTCAAATGCACTTTCAACATCTGGCTATTTAAACTATTTGGCCTGAATTACTGAGCCCAACACTGCTCAAAAACAGGACACCTATGTGTAGGTGCCCCACATATTGTCAAAACCTCCACTTCTCCGAAAGACCATAGAAATACAATGGCAATGGAGTCTTTTTGTCGGTCTGCGCTGTCTGACCTTTCTTCCACGCACGGCACCCGAACCTCTTGAGGCACAGCGGTTTGCCAAAGACCAAGCGGACCAATCGTGGCCCGAAGAACGGAATCCGCGCCGTTTTGGCAGGCCCCATGATTGACATGGCCAGCAGCAGTGGGGGATAGACACCAACCAACACCACGTAGTACAAAGGATGCCCGTGGCCATCCAAAAAGAGAAAGATTTTGGCAGGCCACAGCAGCATCCAAAACGACTGCACTCGCGCAGCAAAGGCTTTCCGGTCCACAGGAAGGACCATGAAAAGGTATGCAAAAGCCAGTGCGGATAGTGTTGAGAGGACAATCAACAGGTAATGGAGAAAGGATCCATATTGCATCCCAAGCACGTGGTGTCCATACTTGAGCAGTATGAAAGGGGTTTGGCCAGGGAACGCAATGAACGTTACGAAAAGAATGGCACGACTCCAGTGGGAAGCATCTGTCAGAGTTCCGGTTCTTTCAACAGTAGCCCTGAGCTCAGGTGTTGAGATGTTCATCTTCATCAGCACTTTCACGGCTTCTTCAACATCTCTCCTGGGAGTTCAATCAACGGTCAAAACTAACGTGCATACCTCCCCAGAAATTATATACATCGTCTTTACATATATATCAATGAAAATACATCAAAATATGACATAACCCCGAGTAACTACTCAACAAAAAAACACATGCCCCTTTAAACAGAAAACACCATGTCGGAAACCCCTAAATATGGTTTATATGTGTCTTCTAATTGCCGCCCTTTAAAGCAACTACTAAACTGACAACATGGTCGAGTTTGGTGTAGGCACTTTTGCATTGTTTTTATATTAGGTTCCCCAAAGCCTGTATCCCTGCGCCTGCCACGAACTCTGCGCTTCAAGGTTCACAAAGCGCTGCGCAGGACACGCGAGCTGCACTGAATATTTAACAAACTATTGTTCAAAAAAGGATCCTCCCACTGACCCTATTTTGGACGGCCCCCATTGTGCAGGGACCCAGTTTAAAAACAACGCGCCCGAGTGTGTTTTAATTGGGGGGCCGCGTGTTTTTCAAGAGGTGGAAAGGATGGTAGAAACAGTCAGTCAAACAGTCGGATTTCCTCAACCAGCACAAGTCCCACGTTACAAATGATGCCTTCAGCTGGCTCAACTATATAGTGAGAGCGAGCTAATCCATTTTCCCTACACAGACGGACGAAAAGAAGGGCGCATGCCGGTAGATGCCACAACGACCGCCACAACAATCACGCAGACCGGTCAAGTCCGGTCAACATGAAAAAGATGGAAAGCTGGGTCTTTATGCAACCACTGACACAACAGGATAAGTTGTCTGACATCATGCTTGGCTTTGTCCAAGAGTCTCATGGCCACTCCTTTTCACTTCTGTCAGGATCTTCAGCTTGTCAGCCTCCTCTGAGCAGCCTGCATCCGACAAACGTCCACTGTAGCCTCGGCGTAGGTCTTCAGCAGATTCATCCGCCGACACAGAGTTCAACCGATCGAGCTCCTGGGATGGGAGAAAGTCGCTGCGCCGATATGGCGCAAACACGTCCGCTTTCCAAAGGGTCACCCCCTGTCTACAGATATCCAGGCCTTCATACCTCCAATCGCGGGTATCTTTTAGTAGGGGGTGGGGCATCCCTTCGATTGAGCTTGAACATCGAAACACGCTTTTGTGGTGTCCATGGCAATGGTTCCAATGACACCCAGCATGATGTACTCCACAGCGAAGAGCCAGTTTTCCTCGAAGAAGATATGACCCATGCTTGTATCGCAGGCGAAGCTCACGTTGCTCAAAACAGTGAGGGCAATCACGACAAACTTCTGCAAATGAGATTTGTATCCACCTCACAAATCTCCATTGGCCCGTCAGATTCGGGACATTGGTTGATGTCTACAGAGATCCTGCTGTTTATTATTGCTTCCATTCAAGCCGCGCGGTTTTTGGTGCATGTGTCAATATTAAGGCAAAAATTCAGTGAAGCGAAGTTCTGCCGCAAAGCTGACCTATGCAAGACTAGCCACCACACTTACCAAAGGACAAAGAGAGGAGGAAAAGGATCATGAACGGGACGATGAGGATGGTGCACGGGAAGTAGAATTTCCTCGCAAACTCTAGTGGCAACAGCAAACCTGCGGAGATACTTGCATGGTTGATGAAGAACATCCGAAGCAAGTAGGCCCACGCATTGAAATCCTGGCGTTGAAATCAGCATAAATCAGCAATGCCCAAATGGAATGAACCATAATGAACCCCAAACTAGCGCTGCTAGGGTGTCCTGGTCCTTTTCGGGGTCCATCACAAGAACACGTTTTTGGGACATAACTGCTGAACTTGGTGCAGCCCTCGTAGGCTATCATACCAACTAAAACACCCCTGACCAAAACAGGAATGCACACAAATATGAGCTTCAGATGATGTTGCATTGGTGATGGGCTTGTTCCAAGAGTAAGCCAGAAACGCCTCATAGACACACCAAAGCCTCGAGTAGATGCTACATCTGCGATTTGGTACTGCAAGGACATGCCTGCAGGAGTCCAAAGCCTTTGCAAATGGAGATTCCTCAGGTGTAGAAATCAAATCAGCAATGTCCATGTTTTGCGGATTCGATAAGAAGCACACGTAGGCCGCTCTCCCACCTCGTGGCCAGCTTTGAACCACTCTGTCCACGAATTCATAAATACCTTCAGCCCAAGCGTGAGTGATGAAAACGTCGCAAGGTAAGCCATCGGGATTCTTCATCAACGCCTCACTCGGTCTTTTCGGCATTGCAATTGGTTTCATGTGAAGGTGAATGTTGGAGGTGTCCGCACAAAGGGTGAGGAGGGAGTATCAAGATCCACTTGTTGTGTGTGCGTGACAAGGGGCCCTGAAATTTTCTAACTAGACTTGCTCTGAAAGTGTCTAACAAAAAAAGGACCACATTTTGGCCAGCTGAGAAACCCAACTGACATTTCCAGCAGCGGCAGTCACTGGCTTGATGTATTGCTCGGTGACGGTATACATCGACGGGCCGCAAGTATAGTCTTTGGGGTCAAAAGGATCCATCCTAGACTCGCACAAGACAGCACGAGTCAGTGAGTAAACATCACGAGATCACTTTTTTCTCAGACCACCACCATGAAACACACCCCCACAGCACAACAACATGTAAATGCACAAATATATATAGTGTTGTTTCTTCTGTGCCTTTCAATTGCTTCAGGCCCGGCACAAAATGTTCGTACCTGTCATGTGTATACCCCAAACCTAACCCTAGTTAGCTTTCACTCGCATTGGCTTTAACATCTTTGCAGACAGGTGACCACGTACATGAATTTAAATACAGTAAATCATAACAAATCAACAACGTACAACAATCATAAACTAAGAACATGCAAGAGTTACGCTTTGTGGAGGGCACTCTCCGAAGAAACTCACATGAAAGTGGACGGCTGATCGTGCCGTTAATAGAGAGTCCCAGGCTCATTGTATGAGCGAGCCGCTCTTGAACCAACATATCCTCCATCAACCATGTCCTAGAGATTCCTAGAGCAAGTTCATCCTCGAAAACAAGTCAAATCACTTCCAAAACCACTTACTTCGACAAAAGTGGTCAATCTTGAATATACACAAGATTCTGCTTCAAAACAAATGAATCAACCGTTTTACTCCTCATCCTCTGAAGAGGCGATCAACGTGTCTGTCCTCTCAACAGTCTTCATTTCGTACACCCTCCAAAAGCCCTACCTCAAATTAAAAAATCAAGGTCATGGAGTCATGCATCACATCACATACCTACCTACCTGGGTGCCAGCCGGGGAGTCAGCATCAGAGCCATAGTAATTACAGTATACAATACAGAAATGCCAGCAGAGGTTGAAGGACCCTATAGACTATTCCATAGGTACCCCAGTAGCGTCCTATAAGGTCACCTAACCTCTCTTGGTGTTGTAAATTATATGTTTTCCACCTTTGTTGAGGCAAACCGCTCGGTCTTGAAAACGAGTTGCTGCGGCAAAGCGAGTTCGGGGGTGCATGCATGTGCTTTTGCAAAGCCCAAGGCTCTCAGTAGGGCAAATGCGACCCTCACTGACGGCTTGACCAACCATTCGCTTGAACTGTTTGAGATCATCCAGGCTAACACACCAGCGGTCCATTGGAACTTCTGCCTCGGCACGAGAGCAACACTTGACAAGTCGAAACAAATATATATCCTTACTTTGCGACCAGCCTAGAGGATACAGTCATAGAGAAACTCAGCAAAGTTGAAAAATAGATTTGACTTTTGGGGTGAGTTGCGTGCAGCTTGGCACCATCATGGACCAGTGGTGAGTTCTCAATGGCAGAATCCCCACTCTTGATTTTTGAAAGTTGAGGTTGCCTGTAGTGAATCACCACGGTAGTCAGCAAGATGCAAATCAAACATATTGATGAGCTGACCTCTGCAAAGGTTCGGATCGGTGCTTTTTGTGGGCCACATGCACTGATGCCGCGTCCAGCACAGCATCCGAAATGAACTTCTTTTTCTTTCCAAGGAGTGCGATCAAACTGTGGCCAATAGCCTTCGGCACACGGACACTCCTCAAATGAGCTCATCCTTACTTTCTGAATAATGGCCAATATGTAGAAACTGCAAGAATATTAGTGGTGTTTAAGCATCATTTACCAGTCCTCCTTGCACGTTTATCCACGCTGGTGTGACAAAGAACGCTTTTTGGCCACTAGATGTCCCAACAATTACAGTGAACTGTTTCCATCATATCCGATGGCAAGCATCTGACATAGAGACCCTGGATCTTGGCACAGGTCTCTGCGAAATCCCTCGCATCTCTTTCCACTCGACGTCACCAAAAAGGACACAATCAAACATGTGGCCAACGTCCTTCCGCAACTCATTCGGCGGGGTCCGGTCGAACTCCTCGTCCGCCACGGACCACGGACCGCTTTTTGGAGCCAACGCGCGGACAGTCCGGCACTGAGGAGCATGGGATCGATCGAAAGAGGGGGGCCCAAGAGGGACCTCAGGACCGGCAGAACCGGCAGAGTCTAAACCTGTCGAGAAAGACACCACCAGGCGTGGGTTGCGACCCCCTGGTTCATATGGAAATAGACTCTGGTCTACCCAGCCTGGGCGAGATTTCGGGGGTCTCCCTAGTAAGATGCACACCCATCTTCTGCGAGGCTCCGAAGTCAGAATTCTTGACACTTCTTGGAGGGAAAAGAAGTCGGGAACTTGCAGCAGTGTGAAGATACTCACCTGGGAATTGGGAATTTGATGCATCTTTTTTCAGTAAGCTGCCTCTGCATGCACGTATGTGCCAGCCTCTTGCGCTGTGCAAGATTCCACTCCGCACAAACGATCTATCGTCCGCACAAACGAGCGCATCTGGGACAAAAGATCTGTACTGGTCAAGGGTCATTTATAAACCCTGACATATATCTGAAATGCACTTGGGGTGGTCAACAAGTTAATTACTCTACGTCACGTCACTCAGAGGTCTGAGAAGTGGCATTGAGGTCCATTCTGATGCCAACAGTAACTTAATGTATGGATGATCAAAGACATATTCCATGTCAAAATGCGTTCACAGTTTTTCGTCAAAACAGCGTTCTTCCATGTCAGAACGGACTACTACGCTATGCCAACTAGCTCTGTACATGTTCCATGGTTCCGCGACATGGGTCTGTACATTTCCATGTGATTCTTTGCCAGATTCGCAAAAGAAGAATCACACATCATGCACTTCCATGGCTGGGGGAGACACAAATTGTCTCTGAATTACTGTTTATAGTACATTCAAAATTGGAATCGAAGATCCATGCCTCAATCCCAAACAAATTGGTCTCAAAACCTCCACCCTTCAGAGAGGCCATACTTCGGCAGCGGAGTCCTTTTGCTGGCCCGAGCTGCTTCTTTTCCTTGGATTTTGTTGAGAAAGCTCGGAAAGCGGAGCAAACATTCCCCAGAATGAACATTCAGCCATATTCAGCCACATGCAGCCATAGGACATAGGACAAATCATCTAAAACCAAGCAGAACCAGGTTTCTCTCCACCCTACAGCACCTAAACCTCCTGAGGCACCGAGGCTTGCCGAAGAGTAGGCGGACCAGCCCAGGTCCCACCAACGGGATCCGCGCCGTCATGGCAGGTCCCATAATCGACATCGCCAGCAGCAGCGGGCAGCACACGCACACCGAGACGAGGTAGTACAAGGGATGCCCGTGGCCATCCTTGGATTGGCTCCAAGAAGCACCTGCAGCCTGGAAAGAAGAAACACGTTTAACGGGTTCCAGAATGGTCCCATAGTTTTTGTGTGGTTTGGACATGAGTCTGGGAATGCTTCACATGTGTGTTCTCAGTGTTTCCGAGCATTCACCAGGTATTTTCGGGAATTAACCATAGGGAAAAACACAAAGTCACCTTAAGCAACACCAGGCATCACAAAAGCCAAAGACCTTTCCAGGCCAAAGCAGCAACCAAAGAGACTGCACTCGTGCAGCAAAGGCTTTCCTGTCTGGAGGCAGGACGATGAACAGCCCCACGAAGACTAGCACCTCTATTGCTGAGATGATGATCAACAGCCAGCGTAGCCAAGCTCCAACCTGCATCCCAAGCATGAAGTCTCCATACATTAGGAGTATCAAAGGAGTTTGGCCCGGAAATGCAATGAAGGCCGCAGCAAGAATGGCGCGACTCCAGCGGGACGCATCAGTCAGAGTCCCCGTTCTTCCAACGGTTGCCCGGAGTTCAGGTGTTGAGATGTTCATCTTCATGAGCACTCTCAGGGCTTCTTCAACAGCACTCCTAGCGCGCACCAAGGCACCAAGAACACACAGCACGGGTGTGGGCTGAAAGCATCACCAAACCTGTACATATATATATATATATATGAGGGACGGTCAAAACTCCTTATTCTTCTTCAGCTACAAAATGGACGTCATCGGTTTTGAGGTGGACCTTATCGTTTTACAGCGTTTTGAGTTCGTCGCATACTTATGACCATATACAGCGCTGGGGTTATCGGTTTTGAGGTGGACCTTATCGTTTTGCAGGGTTTTGTGCACAAACCTACCCCTCTTTACTAAAGTGGTCTTCGCATGTTTTGACCGTGGCTCATATATATGTGAAAATAATATGTCACACTAGTATACAGTATACATGTAGTTATACGCTCCCCGACGTCCTGCTACTTACCTTTGAGCGATCTTCATGAAGGGTTGGATTTGCAAATGGATGTTGATTGTGTTGGGCAGTTGGTAAACAATAGGTGCATGCACAAAACAACATGTGCCACAGTGACACCAAAATACTTATTAGAACATTTTTGGGATGCAAGATTAAGGGTCCAACATCCAGCAAAGATTTCTTGAATCCCATGCCAGGATTCATGGTTCAGATACAGATTTCAGGAAACAATTCTGGAATCCCATGTGGGATTAAAGATTCAAGAGTTCAACAAATTGGATTTAATGCATCCTGAAATAATCCCACCACACTTGCAACTAGTTGCAACTCCTCCAGGTTCAAGACTGATAGAAAACACCTATAGTCCTATAGTCTCAAAACTCCTGGGCACAATGGAGTCAGATACCTGCCCGCCACTAGATGCCCAAGCCATTTGACAAAAAAACACAACCAATCATGAAGGTGCTTGTGCCCTTTTTCAGCTGAACGTGCCAAAACGCGTGGCTTTTTTGTGTCAAAACAAGGTCAGGACCATTTGGATGACTAAAGTGACTGACGCCAAGAATCTCATGGCCACTGATCTGCACTTCCTCCAAGATCTTCTGTCACCTTCCACTGAGCACTCTGCATCTGACAACCGCCCACTAAAGTCTCGGCGTAGGTCTTCAGCAGACTCATCCGCCGCCACAGAGTTTAGCCGGTCGAGCTCCTGGGCGAAAAACCAGAGCGCAGCGCACACGAGCTCGAGCGTGCGGTGCTCGATCAGATTGATGCATGTTGCGGGTCAAACACCCCACAAAGAACCTGCCTAAGCGAGGGGGGGGACCAAGAGGGTGTTCGAACCAGGAAGGCCTTTCCCGGTTGAAGCAGGTGATTCTCCGTGAAAAGCACGGCACAGGCGACCGATTCAGTGAAATATTTGTAAGGTTTCGTTGTAGAATGTGTTTTGACCAAGTGACTTGCAAAGCTTTACTCTGCAACATATCCGGGAAGGAATAACAATTCTACGCCGCCACCGTGTGCAGCTCTTTTTCATGGAATTTCTCGGGGACCCCATTTTCCCCTGGAGGGCCCAACGTGTACGATGCTCTCCAGGTGTCCATCGCAACAGTTCCAATCAAGCCTAGGGAGATGTATTGCGCAGCAATGAGCCAGTTGTCTTCAAACAAAGCACGGCCCATGCTCACATCACATGCATAGCTCACACTGCCGGAGATCACCAGGCCGATCACGGCGAATTTCTGCAAGTGGGACTTGTACCCACCTTATCACAAATGCATACCAATGCATTGCCAAGTCGTGACCCACATGGACCCTGAAAACATCTGAAAACCCGACCGGGTTTTTGGAGGGAAACCCTCTTCCAGACTGAAACCATTGTCCAGGGTCCATGCGAGTTCGTCTCGGGGAGTCCATGGGAGTTTACGGGAGCGACTTGAAGGAAGCCATCCCCGAAGAGAAAGGGCAGATCGCTCAAAATCATGTCTCGAACCGGTCCTCAAGTCGCGAAACAGGGATCCTTCACCTGTCACCTCCCTATCCAAAGAGGTGAAAACTATGACATGTGGAAAAAACATCGGCTGCGCTTTGCATGGCGGAAGCCACCACATTTGCTGAAGGAGAGGAGGAAAAGGATCATGAAGAGCATCCCCAGAATGATGCATGGTAAGAAGCACACCGTCGCCAGGTTCAAGGGCAAAAGCAAACCCACGGATAAGCTCGCCTGGCTGAGAAAGAGCATCCGCAGCAAGTAGGCCCAGGTATTGAAGTCCTTGCAGAAGTCTGAGTTGAAAGGTTCACACCGTAGCTCTATGTAGTTCTGTAGGGCATTTGGGTCAACAAAAACCCCTGCCCAAATCCGGTACATGTCTGAAGCACCTCAGTTTCAACCTGCTATCACGGATCTTCCCCCCGGGATGTCCGTACAATCTACACCCACTTCACCGGACTTGGTCTTCCTTCACGATGGCCTTGGAGTCGAGCCCACGGAAAAACATATGGATTTGGGAACATACAATTCCCGACAAGAGTGGATGATGGTTGGTAAAGGCCTCTGGCAAAATGAGTGATCATCTTTTACCCTGTTGGTGGTCTCCTGAGACACGCCCCAGGGTCCTAGGGTTCTACCACTCATGCATTCAAGACTGGCATTTCCAGTGGTAAGACGTGGTAAGCCTTAACAAGCCTGACCAAGGCATCAAATCAAACCTTCTGATTGGGAACAGAAAAAGTTGGGCGGGATCGAGCAAACGCAAGCTACACCAAAAAAAACTTAAAAGGTTACAAAAAACGTAATTTGTATAGGAAACATATCTAAAGGACAAGTCCTTTGAATTCATGTAAAGGACAACTCCTAGAGTTCTCTTGGGAACTCTGTGACATCAGTGACGCCAGTTGTCAACTGTCTCTCCAAGCAATTTGCTGGACGTATACAGTATATATACCTGGATCCTCCTTTGGGCGGAAAAAAGTGCCGGACCTCAATCCGGCAAAATTTTCCTCCGGATTCCGAAAAAACGCCGGAGACATGAAAAAGCATCCGGATCCAAGATTCAGAAAAACAGAGATGATAAAAGGCTGGATCATACACAAGGAACCTGCTTTCTGGCGCACACTCATTCCACAGCCCAGCACTGGAGCCTTCCCGTTCCCATTGCCCTCACCCATCTTCCGAATGGCCTAAGAGCAGAACCATCACAAAATGTAAGCAACTCGTGCCCAAGCAAAGACTTCCAAAAAGAAACCAAGGAGTATGTGGCAAGGAACCCCTCTTTCTCTGCAACCGTGTCTCTAAAGTTTTTTGTTACAAAGTGGGTTGCTCTCCATGTTTCTTTAAAGCTTGCCTCAGAATGGCCCCCCGAAGAAAGTAGCAGAACTCATGGTTCCTGTCAAAACTCTTAATGTAAAACTTTTCAATATCTGCAGAAGACTCAGTCCAAAAAATTACGCCGGAGTTACGGGAAATTACACCGGAGTTACGACGCGTAATTTTTTGTGCAAAAAACATTGAGATTCTGAACAACACATGTTCCACAGCCCAAGACTTGTCCGGCAGGCTCTGCAAACCTGCGCAGCTGGAACTATATCCCAGCGCCCCGACATCCTGAAACAATGGGAGTACGTTTTTGCCTATGTTCTTTCAGCTTAGGTACGCCCACTTGGGTCTTTCAACACGTACATCGCACTGTAGCGGTTTCATCAGGTTCATTTAGGAGATCACCTAAATGGATCTGATTGATCCAGTGTGAACGATGCTGAAACCGGTGGAATGAGAAAACAGCGGAACAGGTAAACGAGCAGACTTTGCAAACAAATTTAGTTGCATCAGTAGTGGGTTTACAATCAAATAAATTACAAAGCCTTGCGAATCAACATAAAGTGACTTGGAAAAAGTGCCGGACCAAATCCAGAAAAACGCCGGAGTTTGACGGCGCCGGACCCTGTAAAGGTGCCGGACTGAAGATCTAGGTATATCTGGTGTTCTCATGGCAGGGTGACCCCTGCAAAGACACAACGGCAATCGAGGTTCATGTGATGTTGCATTCGTGATGGGCTTGTTCCAAGAGTAAGCCAGAAACGCCTCATAGACACACCAAAGCCTCGAGTAGATGCTACATCTGCGATTTGGTACTGCAAGGACATGCCTGCACGAGTCCAAAGCCTTTGCAAACGGAGATTCCTCAGGTGTAGAAATCAAATCGGCAATGTCCATGTTTTGCGGATTCGATAAGAAGCACACATAGGCCGCTCGCCCACCTCGTGGCCAGCTTTGAACCACTCTGTCCACGAATTCATAAATACCTTCAGCCCAAGCGTGAGTGATGAAAACGTCGCACGGCAAGCCATCGGGATTCTTCATCAACGCCTCACTTGGGCAGTTTGGATTTAGAAAGCCCACCTTTTAAACCAAAAATAAGCAAACAATAACACATGCAAAAAAAACACACATCCTAGAAAGCCCTGTTGTGAAGGTTTCTGTGGATGTTGGAACTGTCCCCAGACTCTGCACCTACTCCAAGAGCTTCCTCAATCCACTACATTTGGTCAGCTGAGAAGCCCAACTGACGTTTCCAGCAGCAGCAGTTACCGATTTAATGTACTGTTCGGTCACCGTGTACATCGATGGGCCAATGCTATAGTCGGTGGGATCAAAGGGATCCGTCCTAGACTCGCGTGGAAGGCGCCAAAAACCCAGACAAGTCAAGCGCCCAAAGTTGAGCCTTTGGCACTTGAAAGGATTTATGATTGTGGGTGGCATGACCAAAGAACTATCTTCCTCACGTGCGTCCACTTCCAGGTTTGTTGGAGGGGGGACCGGTCTAGTAGAGGAAGGCCCAACGGCCCAAACACCTGGAAGGACTGTACCGGAGGATCAACGGGCTGCCATCATCCGATCCCTTTTTCAACGACCCAGCAGCCTGCCAAGTCCTTCAAAGCCCCCAGCGAAAGCCAAGAAGCAACAAAACACGCCGTCAAAGCCTGGTGGGGGTGGATTTCCACACCGATGATCTTCTTGCGAGATAAAAAGCAGTGGCAGGGGTCGTGGGGTGGTTTGAAACCTGATGTCCCTATAATGCTCCATGAGTGTGCATCCAACCCACATTCTTGACATGCAAGTCATTCCCAGTCCATCCAGTTGGTCACATGGTACAAGTAACACCCAAGGCTCTCAGTAGGGCAAATGCGGCCCGCAGCCACAGCTTGACAAACCAATCGCTTGAACTGCTTGAGATCCTCCAGGCTAATACACCAGCGGTCCATCGAGACTTGTGCCTTCTTCAGATCAACAAACGTGTTGACTCGTTTTCTCCCGAGTGAGACACATGCTACAACCTGAACAAGACCAACCCAGCTTGACAATACCATCTCCATGATGTTGACTGGCATTGTGAGAAACATGCTTAACCTGAACATTGGAGATCAGTCTTTTGATGTTGGATGTCGAGCCGCATGCAACTGAGCACCATCATGGACCAGTGGTGCGTTCTCAATGGCAGAATCCCCGCTCTTGATCCTCCAAGCTTGAGGTTGCCTGTAGTGAATCACCAAGGTAGTCAGCAAAATGCCAAGCAAGCATAGTGATGAGCTAACCTCTGCATAGGTTCGGATGGTTGCTTTTTGTGGGCCACATGCACTGACACCACGTCCGGGACAGCATCCGAAGTGAATTCCTTGCTCTTTGATGCTATACATGGGAGGGTCAATTTGAGGCCAATAGCCTTCGGCACAGGGACACTCCTGAAGCGAGCTCATCCTTACTTGATGAATCCTCAGAAAAAACAAATGTTCTCTCCTAAAATGCAGCGATGGCAAAACCAAAGGGGGCTGATCCTTCAGGAACTGACAGAAGACAGCAGCTTTACGGGAACGTCTTCCCATGGTTCCCTGGGTAATTACAGTCTTCTCGGCAACTTACCTTTTCTTGCTTGGACAGATTTGGAGGGCATAAGAACTCAAATTGAATGTTGAAATAAGCTCAAATCATTTCCGATTGTCAAGTGAGATTCTCGCATAGAGACCCAGGATCTAGGCATAAGTCCTTGCGAACTCCCATGCATGTTCTTCCCAGACTGGGCACCAAATGCAACACGAGGACCAATGGAGCTGCCCAAGTCATTCGACTCGCGAGCGCACCGGTCACCCCAGCGCTTTCCGCCGCTTTCCGCTAGGGCGCTTTCCGCCGAGGCGGGTTCCCCACCCTCTCGAGCCCGAAAAAGGGTAGACCGGGATGCCGACATCGAGGTGTCCATGGCAGCACATCCCTGCAGGTTTCTTGTGAAGCAATCAGATTTTTCCGTGATCGCTTTGGGCTTTTTGGGCTTGGGAAAGAGTTGGTCACGAGAAGGGTGTGCAGAACATTGCAGAACTGATCCATTGATAGTATTTATGGAGGTGCCCAGGCAGAGAAACCTCCGACCTCCACGACCTCCGGAGCGTCCTTCGTACAGTCGTCGGACGGACCCGGTCTCAGCTTGGTCTTTCCCACGAAGGTGCGAAGGAACTGGGCCAGCGTCTTGATGTCCAAATGTCTTGTCGGAAGGAGGGCAATCGTACCATTCCCTAACTCTTTTTAACATAAACCTCCACCCAACCAGGGTGGCGAGAGTGTTTTTCCCGTCCTGGACAGGTTCCAAGGCTCCAAATGACCACCCCTCCGTAGTTTTTTTTTGGTTAAGTCAGTAAGCTAAAAGCACATGCCGATGACCTGCATTTGGTGCTTTTCGCCACCCAGTTCAGGTCGACCTTCAGACCCCCTACATCCAGCCATCCTTCAGGCGCTGGGAAAAAGCTGGTTCATATGCAAATCCTTGCCTTTTCTATCCGTTTCTTGTGACTTACTCAGTCCAAGCCGATCTCAGTCTTCGACCCCTCTTTCGCCCCTCTTCCTCGGCCCGGCCTCAAGGCGCGCGGCGATCCTGGTCTCCTGCCGCGGTCCGAGCCGGGAATCAAAGACGTGTCAGTGGCCAAAGTAGGGGGTACCTGGTAGGACCAATGAACTGGGTGGACCTGGGGGGACCTGGTGGACCAATGAACCAACCAACTGCTACACATGGTCAACCGAGCCCAGGGATCAGGGGTCCGGGTTTTGACCCACAGCCACTCCCACAGCCATATTGCTTGTACACTTGGGGATCTCCCCCATAGACGGTGTGTTTAAATCTAAAGGGTGACGGACAAATTCAAGTGCAAAGCCAGTCGGAACTTTGGTCCAAGAAACATCGTCATCCGGGTCCATACCATCCACTTTCATTCGAAGAGTGTGAGGGAACAGGAAACCCTGATGTCCACTCCCAACACTGTGGGTTTTGTGTAGGCATTCCCTCAAACCAATTCTGGGACACTGCCGTGTGAGTGAGTTGGAGGGTACCATTGCTTGGAAGCATCGGCCAACAAATGCTCCGGTGTGTGCTACCACAGTAGTCAGGTCACATCAAACGCGTTAAATCACGTCAAGAACAGATTGACCTGCGTCTTAATTTACCTTTACGCACTGAGCACGAACCACATCATTTACTCATAGAACCAAAACTTCCGGATTCCGGATACTTCACGGCTTGCGGCAGAATGAACACCCGTGGGTAAGCCCATGTAAGCCCTACCCTACTCAATCAACTCTGGTGCATTTCATTCAACACACAATTGAAGTGCAACACCTGTTTCATCTCTTTACGGTTTCCATTCCGAAACAGCAGCAACAACCACAACCGACAAACAAACAAAGAACAACAACAAAAGAAAACCACAACCAACAACCACGGCGGCGACGACCTCAAACCAAGTGAACACCTCTCAGACCTAAACTGTCCGCCGATCGCGACTTAAATGGGTGAGCCTCTGGTAACTTTCAGGATTTGCAACACCATGCCAACAATCTGAAACCATTTGCTTCACGTGCAGCAGTCTGGGGATTGCCACTGACTTCACTCAGAAACTGGGAACGACGACGACGTCCACTCTGCCATGCTTCATCGACAAAACGGTTCCATCGTGTTCCATCTGTGCGTGGCCATCTCTCCGGCATCGTGCCTGCTAATCTCTCTCGGAGCTCAAGCTTCGTCCCTGCGCGGAACCCGAAAAGGGGGCGACCGCTGGTGGCCTGACCGCCGGCCTGGCCCGTGGCCTGGCCATGCCTCCTATGATGGGGACAGTCGTGCAACATGAGTTTGGTGGTTTTGATCCAAGTCACGAAACAAAAAATCAGGCCACCATCATTGGAGCGAGCGCCACTGACTTCCATTTCACCGAGGGTGCCTAAAGGCATGAAACCGCTTGAAGTGGCTGAAGTCTGCCCTCTTTTGCACCAAATCAAGAACAACGGAAGACCTCCTGGGTTGCTATTCGGTTTTCATGGTCATCCCTATGGGGCGGAAGCGGTTGCCGGTCCACTCCCAAGTCAGCTTCAGGCTTCTTGTCACGGCTGGCTGAAGCGAATATATAGTGAACACTTACAACCCCCCGAATGCAAGTAGCGCCATTCAGGGTGCCTAGCCGCTGTCGAACTCAAATAAGGATGCTCAAAACTGTGGTCCAAAGTTCCAAAGTGAATGGATTCAGATTCATCATTCAAATGCTTCATAATCAGGTGGTCGCTTGTCTGAAATTGGCGGGCTGCAAAGCCTGGGACTTGGCCCCCACTGAGCTAAAAACAACCAATAGACAATTGATATCGTTCGAACATCTTATCTGGATGGTGGATTAAATTAAGCCCTTTCCCAACAAATTAGTCCAGTGGCATAGTCATCCGAGGTCATCCCCAAATTTGCTCAGAAAAAGGCAAGCTTAACAAAAATGTGTACAAAAACAAAATGGAACCCACGAACCTGAATGCAAACACGTACTCGAAAACAAAACATCCAAACAATTTATGACACTCTTGTAGGAGAAACTTTGGTGGGGCACCTTGTATGACACTCACTCTTGTGGGACACTCTTGCAGAACACTCTTGTAGGACACTCTTGTGGGACACTCTTGTAGGACACTCTTGTGGGACACTCTTGTAGGACACCCTTGTAGGACACTCTTGTGGGACACTCTTGTAGGACACTTTTGTGGGGCACTCTTGAAGGACACTCTTGTAGGACACTCTTGTGGGGCACTCTTGTAGGACACTGTAGATCTTGTAGGACATTCTTGTGGTTCTACCCTTGAGGCTGCGAACATTGAGAGTACCAACCCTCAAGACACCATCCCCAGCGAATGCACCACAGCCCGCTGTAACCTCCCGAACAGCACTCATGGCTGCAAAAGATCACTCGCCTTCCCTGTGAGCATTGAGGAAAGCTCACTCAACTGTTTGCGTCGATGAACAGCTCGTGCCCTCTTGGCTGCTCTTCAGTCTGCTGTAAAACGCGTTCTCTGGCACCAAGCAACTTTTCCGCAAGGAAACTTAAGGAAATGCTGCTTGCGAGCAGAAGCCCTCCTACACTTGGTGCAACAAAGGACTGCTCGGCTAGGCTTCTGCACGGTTATGAGCACCAGCGTTGCTGCTGCTGCTGCTGTCAGCAGACTCCCGTGGCTGCAATTTTGACAGTATAGATTCAAGGCGGCGACTTTAAGCTTCAGACTCACTTTCGAAGCTGTCGGCAAACTGTTGCAACCTTGATATCATTTGTTTTCTCTCAGGACTTCCAATAATGAGCTTGGCCGAATTGGCAATAATACTCAAACACATTGAGAACCACTGGGGTTTCTTCAACTTACCAAAACAGGGAACCCGAACAATTTCACAATCACCTTGCTTGCCAGCTTTCAAGTCAACAAATTTCTGAGCAATGCCTGCGCTAGTTTTGACAACAGTAGCCTTGCGAATGTTACGGCAACATACGGCAACGCGCAGGAGCACTGACACAAAGAAACAGTTTGCGATTGGCTTCAGGATGAGAACGTTTGGCATGTGCTAAACAAACAGCACACTGAGCATCCTTGCTCATGCAAAGCTTAGGAGGAGCCGCATTTTCAAGTTCGAAGTTAGCAAAGTCACGATCAATATCCCTTCACGATCAAAATCCCTGCTACGTTTGCTACTGCACACAGAAAGCGTGTTTTTCTTCTCCAGGTGATCGCTTAGAGACGCTCTGGATGACATGAGAAAGCAAGGCCGATAAACGTGTGCGTCCAGCACTGATAACTGGGGGGCAAGGCAGAAGACCTGGTGAAAGCAAATCTTGAGCTTGAAGCTTTGCGGCTGCTAGCTGCACCGCCTCGACCTCCTTGCAACGGACCGTTGCAAACTGACTGAAGTGCAGCTGCACACAAATCACCTTTAAGCCATTCATAGTGGTCGTCTTGACACCACAGCGCAACAAAACCATCGTTGGAGGAAGTGTTATACCCTTCAGGATGCACCAACTTTGCACTGTCATAATGGGCGGCAGCTGCCGCAACTTCAAGACATCCTGCCCAAGTACCAGCCTTGCCAACGAACGAGATTCAAATAACTTGCGAAATCACCTCATAGCTTTCGGCTGGGATCCTGGTTGTCCCACCAAGGCTCGTAACGGTCAGAGTGCCGTCGCAGGTGTGATATCACAGCTGCACGAACACCTCTTTGGTGCTTGGGCTTTGCCTGACCAATCGCTTCAAAAAGGCCATCACCCTTGCCCCCTTGCCTTAATGCAAATCACCCGTGTGATTTTTCGAACCTTCTCCTTCCATCTCCTTCCCAGTTCTTTGTACCTTCCCTCCCTTTGGGCGTTTGTTTCTTGTTTCGCGCCTGAGTCTTCGAGGCCCAACGTCCTCAGGGCGGCCCTCAACTGTGGCACCGTCAGCGAGGCCTCGGTCGCTCCGGTCGGCGACGCCCAAAATGGGTGCCATGGCAGCGATGTCATGTAGACTCTTGATGAATAAACCCCCACATGATGAACAGGATGCTTTTAAATCAAATGGAGGGGATCGTTATAATCAAGAGTCTACATGAAATGCCGAAATGATGCCTTGTATAGATGCAAAACGTATGAAATCATGTTGCACGGAACCGTGTGTGTATGTTATATATGCGTGACTTCATGGCTTCTTTCCCTTGGCGAATGAAAAGCACAACGATACTCCCATTGGATTGGTCCTCTGGTTCTAGTTGGGGGTAGTATCAGCCCAAGATTTGACCTGTGTTTACACAAAAGGCTGGTAGTGTTGAGGAAGCACTTTTTTTGGGGGGGTACTGATATCTCTATATATATGTGATTATATGATATATGTATGTGTGTGTGTGCGTGCGCACCTATACATAGCCGTGTTTCTCATATGGTTTCCTGCATAAATAGTATCTAACATGGTCCATAAAACAAGGTCACGGCACGATGAGTGACTGTGGGTGTTGGGACGCGTGCGTTGGTCTCCAAGATGTGTTCGTCAGGAAACCACATGATCAAGTCATTTTTTGACAGAATGATTGAAGTGGAGAGAGGTTTAATGTTTCCGGCCCCTGACGATGCATGCGCCCTCCAATAACGACACCACGAGCATAAACTTGGTAGTTTGCACCACTCTCATGGGAAACACCTCGCAAATCTCAAAGAGAAAACACTCAAACCTAAGCCCCCAAACCACATCGACTGCTGGTGTCTTTGACTCAGCCTGGCACCGTCACATGAAAAGCGCAGCTGACCATGGACTGTGGTTGGTGCCATCAGGTGCCATCATGGACTGTGATATGGTGAGCCTACGTTAAATGCGAGTAATCCCGTCAAAGGGTCAAATTTAACAAATGCCTGTCACCAGAACCTCCATCGTAGAAGCCTCAAATATACGAGGACATCATTGATACGGATGACTATTTGCTTCATCTTGCTTCAATCAATGCTCAGCTGAGGCTCTTTTCCCCCACAAACTCCAAAAACGTAGCAAAAACGCTTTTTAGCATCCCATAGCATCCCAATAGCCCAAGCCCAAAGTCAAACAAAACCAAACAACACATTGAACACCATCTGAATGTACCTGCGTTCCACCTACGCAGCCAAAAACACAAGGGCCCGCCCATGCACTGGTTCGGGCGGGCCTGTTTCTCTCTCTCCGCTTCTTCCGCCAGGGAGGGCCCGCGATGCTCGTACTGGGGAGGAATGTCCTTCTCCCATCCATCGTAGAGCTCACCCCAGCCTCTGTCTAGCCCCGCGTGTGGCGCCAAACTCTCTCTCTCTCTCTCTCTTTCTCCATGGCCCTCTCCAAGAGTTTGGCCATTTGGGCTTGAGAGCCTTAGTTGCAAACATTTACCCCATGAACATGACCCAGCCATGTATATATATATATAAATTACGTAACGATTCGATACATGGAGTGTCCGGGCATGGCCAGTGTACCATCTGGCCCGTGGGGGCGCCCAGGAAGTCCTGAGGTCAGAGGAAGATAAAGTCTAACAAAAACAATGTCTTAATCTGCATGCCAATGATTCAAGGATTCTTTTTATCAACATGTGGTCAATCCGAGGAGAGGGGGAAGAAGCGCCTCGAAGAAGCGCCTGTGCTGATTCCCCCCAAATGTTGAACTTCTTCGCCTAAGAGGGCTGAATATGAGGACCAGTGAAATACCCAGCGGAGGCAAGCTAATAGGCCAAAGCACCCAGCAGCTACACAAAAAAACACTTGTACCCACATTTGGTGCACCTCAGCTACCCAATAGAGAACCAAAGTCTCAATCATGAAAACATCATTACAGCAACCACCTAAGTTATGTTTGGTGATATAACTATTATTTGGGTCTATCATAATACCTGTAGCAGTGGATGATGGTAAAGGCCTTGTTCAAAAATAGATAAGATAGTGATGATTGTTTACTGACGATTGCAGGTAAGAACGGACAGACCCCAACTGTTATCACTACATCTTCCGCCATCAAACCAACGCCATCACGTCTCCCGTCGCCGTGATCGCCCAGGAGCGGTTTTCCGCGTGGGACTTGCGAATCATCCTCGGTCCGGGTCACACGAACAGGACGAACGGCATCGGATGGAAGTCCAGGCGCCCGGATGAACCGAAGACGAATCCGATGGAAGCGAAAAAGCGTTGCGGTCGAATAGAAGCGTGAAAGCTTTACAGGCGAACGCTATCTGTAGATGGGGGCGGTTGGGGGGGCACGATGCCAGTTGAAGAACTTGGTGGAGTGGCTGCTTCCGGCCGGTGGTTTCTGCAGATGTCCCACCCAGGAATGACTGGACCTTCACCATTCACCACCAAGAACGAACCTCGTGAGCGTCATGTTTGGGCCTCGTTTTCGGCGTGAAACCGGTCTTAGACGGGAGGTGTGGCCGGTCTTGGGATGGGAGGTGTGGCCATGCGAATTCTCCTGAAACATCCTGAAACTCCCCAAATCTACAGTTCTTTGGATTGAAAAAAACATGCAAAAAACATCTACAACGATTTGGATTGAAACAGTTCTTCTATTTTTGTTCTGTTATTTTTCCTTCAGTCTATCAACCAGGCACAGTTTTGTCAACCAGGTGCAGGAACGAGACAAGATCAATACCACACCCGGACCAGGGGTTTCTATAGCTCCTTAGAGGTGATTCGGGGTGTCCATTAACCACCCCGACAGTGGGTCCTGGTACAGAATACGCAGAATAAAAACATATGACATACCTGGACCCTCCTGTCGGGGTGTCCTGGCTGGACTACCCCACACTACCGGCCTAGGCTTCCAGACAGGGCACCCCGACAGGAGGGGGTGTTGGTACTGAACATTGCAAATCATGGATTCACTGGCAAAAGAGCGGTTAAGTCGTGAGTCATGTCTCTATCAAAACGAGGAAATCGTTCTCTCTAGGGGGGTGATCAAGCCTCCACCCCTTGACCAAGCGAAGGTGCTCGCTGGGGCGTTCAAAGACTAAACCCTTGGAACTGCACTCCCCTAAAATTATAATGGAAGTGGAGAAACAATCGTCCGGTATTCCGAACATGGTCATCCAAGGAATCATTTTTAATCTTCCCCTGATGATGTCACGAAGTGTATAATGTAGGATTGTTGATGGGTAAAGCCCCTCCACACGATTACAGCTAAGCCAGTCGGAGATCTGACCGTCAAACCATGTTATGGTGAGACTATGTGATACTGTATCCCTAAGAATCCTTGAAAACGACCTCTTACGCAGTTCACAGGAGGGAACCCAACCCTTTGCATTTGATCATCTGGATTCTTTGGGTAGATTGTGGTTTAATATACGCACCCATTTGGATTGTAAAAACTTCATATGGGGGTTTATTAAGAAGAGTTAATTGATTAGTCAACAGTCTACAGTATAAGTAAAAATCACTCACTTGCTCAACTCTCGGTTTTTGACCAGTGACCCCAAATTGCTTGGGGCCTCACCACAAACATCACCATCCCAAAAGCGGTGTATGTCAACATCTTGAAAACTAGTCGACCACTTCCGTTTCCTTCATCTTCCAATGTAAACTGCATCAAACCGAACACACGAACCTCCAATCCGACCCTGCACTCCAAGGGGCGCGATGTAGGTTTCATCGTCCACTGTCCGGAGCTTCAAGCCCCTGACGAAGGTCGAGGTCGAAGCCCACCCTCAAAGCACCCAATCAGGCCACACCAGGCCATGGTTTAAAGGACTTATACAAGAACGACAGCTGCGCTCATGACGGTCTTTACACTTTTGCACTCCAAGCAATTATTCTTGTAGAGGTACCATACTTGAAAATGGTATATAGGACCTTCCAAACCCACATCCCACCACTCAGAACATCACACCGGACACAGGGGGGTGTGCTTCGCTGCCATAGGTGCACAGGGGTTCTCCCTCTCCAGATTTTGCCCGTCTCGTCACTGCTGCCACACGCGGGAGGCGTCGAGTGAAAAGGCTCAAGGCCAGCTTGGGACTGGAGACCCGCAAAAATGATAGACAAACAGACAAACCGTGAGAAACCCTAAGGAGCTGCCACCGGGTGAGCGTATGCGAAATTGAGACCCACATGTCATCACTTCAGTTAAGATAGCCAAGGAAAAAGGTGGGCTACGAACAAAGTCTGGCTAACCTGGAGCCATGGTCAAGCGTCAGGTAGTCGGAAGAGTGCTTGTTTGAAAAGCAAAAGCGCTGAAGATATATATATATATATTTGAATTATAAATTGCAAAACTACAGTAACATCCAGAGGTTTGGGGTCCAAGCATGCAAACATGATAGGCATACAGCAGGCATCTTAACTTCCATTCCTTCAAAGCAAGACGTGGGGCGGTGTACATCCTTGTCCAACGTTTACTCTGCTTCTGCGAGGTAAGACCCTTTGTACCCGCAAACTGCCATGATTGGAAGCCCAAACTCACATTCTATCAGTTGGACAAAAACATATATATATATAGTTATACATCTGTAATGTAAACAAGCAAACAAACAAACAAACAAACATATCTACACACGAACAGCCGAAGCACTTTAGACAAGCTGGACCGTAGAGATTCGACGACCAGCTGCCGTTCCCGACCTTGGGGTTCGCCAAATGAGGTCGGCCAAGTCTTGCACAGTTTCCACCTGAAGGTTCCGGAAGGGCCGAGTCTCAATGGCGGACTGAGTCTCGTTCTCTTCAGAGTGAGACCTTTGACATTCATAAAGACGCCCCAGACATGGATTTCGTACACCCTCTTCAGTGGGTGGTGTATTACTAAAGAGTCTACATATGTCTACATTACTTCAGACATGTCTTTTAGTCATTAGGCTCTGATTCGAAGTCAAGAACATTTCACACAGCTCCATTTGTCCCTTGCCTCCTCCATCCATTCATCCTCCAACTCCACCTTGAAGTGATCCTGTCAGGTTTACGCGCAGCTTGCTCTGCAATAAACTCTTTCAAGTGGGCTAAAAGCCCCTACTAACCCTTGTTGGTAATTCATTCTCACTATATACTTCAAGCAAAACAAGTAGTCAAGTTTCGAGCAAAACTACTAGCCCTTGTTAGTCATTCTCCTACTAGCCCCTACTCTCACTACTTCTGAACACTGCAAAACCCTCAAACACTTCACCTTCAGAGCTGCACCCGTCCTCCAACTCCATCATTGCCTGCAAAACGATGCAATCGTGGGCTTCCGGGAGGGGCACAGTTCAATCCGGTGGCAGTCGCTCCCCGGTCTAAAGTTGCAATCCGATTGCACATGGTCCTCACGATGTCCCAATTCCAAGGTCCATTGCACCAAACTGTCTCAAAGTATGTCAGAACATGTACATGAAGTATCACTTGAGAGAGGAGGGGGTGAACGAAAGGTAGCAGGCAATCACAAGTAACCCTGGTAGAATGACGGCGTGACCCGGCGCGCGTGACCCGGCGCAGGGGGGATTTGATCCAGGGAGGGGGGGGGCCCCCCCCCGACGAACAGAATCAACTCTTACAGGACCAAACTCAATGCACAATCCCAACTCCCGATTGTAATACATTTTTGCTAAAGCAAGGAGAACTCAGGTAGCTCAAGCTACCTTTCGTGATTAATGTTCCATTTTTGGGAGGTCATATCCTGTTTCAAGGGCACTTTGGAGTCACATGTCAACGAGCCTGCACCGTGGCCATCCGACCCAAGCGTGGACGAGCCCACCGTGTGCCTCCAACGTGTCCAGGGAATCGGCTTCGGCCTGCAGCGTCTGGGTCCGCGTGGCGCGAGACACCTCACCTGCGGGGAGGAGCGGTCTCGAGCGCATGGATGTGGATGAGAACGGAACAGACGAGGTAGACTCTTGAGGACCATACACCCCCCATATGAAGAGGATGTTCAATTCAATTGGCTGGGGTTATTAATCAAGAGTCTACATTACTTGGAGTATGTACGGATGGTTTCTATATATATAAAGACAGGGGGATGGACACCGAAGAGATGTTAAGCCGCTGAGTCTGCAGGCCCCTGGCGGTTCGCTGCACGAACTTGGGGATTCCAAAAATGACTCAAACGAAGCTGAAAACGATGCAGGTTCTGGACTTGCCTTTCTTCGGAACCTTGACAAAAAAGGTAATATCCAGTGGAAGGGGGTTCACCGTACGGAACCGTGAATATATATATATATATATAACAAGTCACTCTTTTTCCGCCAGTTTGCATGCAAGTTAGCGAGTTAGCAATGGGAGAACGCACCCTGGAAAACGTCACCAGAAAAAAAAAAAAAAAAAAACTGGAACTGTGTTCCGCTGCGGGATGCACTTCTGCAGTTCGGCACGTTACGACTTCTCATGTATCTAGTATCTATAATATACACTCTGACTCACTAACATGGAAGTGGAAAATGGATGAAAATGGACGAACATGGTCCCTTGGAAGACTACTTTCCTTTACAAACATGGTTTTTTTCCACTTCCATGTTAGTGAGTCGGAGTGTAATTTTGAATTGCTAGATTACCTTGGACAACTCCTTTGCAAGCCGGCCAACGAACCACCGGCCTCCGAAGGAGGGGCATTCCTGCTTGATAATTCCTGACAGCCGAACAAAAGCCGAAGTCCGAAGTGTACGTCCTGTTTCCTTAACCAGTCGGTCGGCCCAGCAAAACACGACTGCTACAACCAGGAAATGCCCTCGAAACCATCGCCAATGAACCAAAAAAAGCCGCCTTCCACTTCCATTTTGACTTGTTCATCGACGTGGCCATTGATGCCAGGGGGGACCTTTCCATATCATAATCACAATCAAATTTACGTGGACTGTTCATCAAAATTGCGCTCACACACATGAGTTTTCACACAACACATCGGTGGTGGAATCCTAGGGTCCTACGGACCCCATTCGGTCGACCTTGGTGCCATACCAGATCATCTGCTCCGAGACTCGAATCACCTCTTCCACCACCGCGTCGCTGGCAGTTCTGCCGAGTCCTGGCGCCTGGACCCATGGCAGGATGCGAAGGATGGAGCCTGAACTCATCGGTGTGGGAACATACACATATGCATGCATGGTACTAGGCATCGGCATCGGGATGGAACGTGTGAGATGGAACTGGCTCTCGGATCTTTTTGTATCGGAGATTTGCAAGAAGTGTTGAGTTCTGTACTGACTCAGAGTTATTCCACAGCTGCAAGCCCAACTCAGTTTCGTGGACCGCGGAGTTGAGTACATCCCAAAAAGCCTTGTCGGATGTCAAAAAAAAAAACATAAATAAAACATAAATCCCACGCTTTTTATGTCAGTACACCATATCTTTTACAACATAAATCCCACCTGTTCATCGCCATCCAGACCGGCTCGTAATGGACCCCCCGCTGCATGCGGCCATGCTGCAGCGAAGAGCGCACTGAGCGCACGGTGGGTGGCAAAAAGGCACCAGGTCGTAGCAATCAAACAAAGTGCCCATGGCGAGCGCATGCTCAAGGCAAATGTTGAAAAACACAAGCAAAACTGGAGTGTTTCAGTTCATGGGAGGGAGAGTACACACCGCACACCTTCAAAATCCTGTATCTAAACCTGGTGTGACGAAACGCAAATGGCTTTGATGGGAATGTTCTTACAGGATCTTGCAGGCTTCTTGGCACTTGATACTGCAGTTGGATACTGGAACTGCATTGTGGGAACGTGACCAAGGAGGTCTCAATCGGCTTGTAGCAGCTCAGAGTGGTACGCATCAGCAAAAGCCAGTGGCCAGGATGGGTTTGAAACAAGATGCCTGCCAATTCCACTGAATCTTGAGATCTCCAGAAGGGAACACAAAACACCAGCGCCTGTGGCAAGGGGGTGCCTATGCAATTCTACATTTGTTGACTCTAACGAGCCCGGAGCATCAATTCTGCATTTGGCCCTCCGACTTAAAGACTTGGGAAATCACAGAAGCCATAGGGTAAAAGGAGCAAAAACAAATAACGCGGGATACGTTAGGCCTCTTACGTTCTATGTATAAACTTCTCTCAGGGCAAAGCTGATGAGTGCAGCTGTCAAATGCTCGATCAGTCACGTGCTTGCGCGAAGGCCACGTGAAAGAATGTAGGTCGTTTAGACGTTGATTTGATCCTGATCCCGCAGCAGCAACAACTGAGTTTATCTAGTGTTTGATGGATTGTGCAACAGTTGATCTACTTGAGAGGAATTCTCCCCGCAAACGTAACATGGATCAGCATTGACCCGTGGAAAACCATTGTCCTCTACAACCCAATGGTCTTGGGGTCCCACATATGTGGGATCTGATGATGAACTTGTAGTAGATGCTTTATGATGCTTTAGTGCTGCCGGACCCCGCCTGGTTCGGGCACAATCCGCCTGGTTCGGCTACACTAGTCACTAGTCACCCCAGTGATCGGAGAAACAACGAAGAACAAATGCAAGACAGAAGCCACAAAACAAGGTGGACATCCCATTTGGTAGTTGAAGTTGTTGAGTTGTGGTGTGCCATGACCCACAATCCCACACCTAAATATCCAAACAAAAGCCATCCAACAAACATGGAAGTGAAACATGGCGTCTAAAGACAGGTGTTTCCTCTACCCACAGGTGTTTCCACTTCCATGATTGTTGGAGGGAGGATACCAAGCAGGGAACCTGTTCTGCGTATTCCCCGTAAATCGGATGTTCGGCACTCCCTGTGGGCCACGTCGTCGCCAGGTCAGCTGGTGGTGTTCGCAGCGAACTAGCACCAGAAACCACAAATCCAACGACAACTAATTGACTAACTAGGCTAGGGGTAGGTCTTATAGTTGAAGTTGAAGCTAGTATACCTATATATAGTATAAGTATACCTAACTCACAAAAGTAACCGAAAAACAAAACAAACTCAGCACCTTCAGCTACGCATGTCTCAACAATCCCGTTCTATGCCGCACCTCCCGTTGGCTCAAGGCGACGGGACCGGACCCGTTGAATCATGTGGGGTGAAATTCCATGGCGACCAGCTGAAGATTCTGAAGGCCCCACAAAAGTTTCGTTGTCGCAGGGGTATAGTCCTTTTTGGTGGTGGTCCCTCGAAAGGGGACAAAATCTCCAAATACAAGCTGGGCAGTATGTCCAGTGGAGCGCAAAGCAGAAAGAAGAGAGGGGTGGTACAGTCAATCACGTCACACAGGATCACACAGGTTAAGAGTCAAGGCCCTTGGGACTGTATCCCGATCCCGACCGCCAAGGCACTTCTCCCACGGAGACCTCGTGGGCGGGACACACAGAGTGGGGGTGGGTGCCTGAGGCCTTCTCAGGAGGTAGTTGGAGCCCTGGGGTGTATATATATATATGTGTGTGTGTGTGTGTGTATGTAAATTTATACATGATACACACATACATTAGGATCATACAGGCAGAAGTGGGGCACAAGAATCCTTAGGACCAAAATCTCAAGCCTTCCCTATACCGGCTAAAGAGCGTCTCAAAGGACAATTTAGATGCATTTACAGTTGACTCACTTAGTTTCCCTGGAAAATCAAGGATAACCAGACGTTCATCCTTTTTCCACCTGTTTAGTGGTGTTGCCCCAATCCCCAAAAAGGTTTCCACCTGGTTTAGGGTGGACCTAGAGGAGGCCCTAGAGGCCTGAGGCCTGCAGGAGCACAGTTCGAACTGTGCCAGCTTCTTGGACCAGTCAGACATGGACATGAAGGGGAGAACTTCAAGAGTCTATCAGTCTACATTTCTTCCAAGAGGTTTTTCTTTGATGCATGGACCTGGGATGCAAAAGACTTGCTGTAGATTTGCATGTTGGATGCATGAACTGGATGCGCCTGAACTGGTGGAGGTCACCTGCATGGCTCGAGGGCTTGAGTGAAAGGTGGAGGTGTTTGGAGTGAAATTCAAGGGCAAGTGAGGTGACAACACATGCAAATCAAGTGAGGTTGTACATACTATACCATGGTTATACCTGTATACTATCAGTGAGTCGTATGGCTAAGAATCCTTTATTGACTCTCCCAAGAAGAAGGGGACGGACCCGTCCTCTTTGGATCGGATCCGCACACGGAGCCACGTCCTCCGCGTCAGGCCTGGTCTACGTAGTGTCTGATGCTCTTCCTCTTTCTCTCTGCGTCCGTGGTCCTCACCTCCAACTGCAGCATTGTCGGATGACTTCGAGGCATCGTCCGATGGGCCAGTCGGTACCGTCGGTCTGGTTTCTCTCGAATCGCTCACCGTTGGTGTCACATCTCAGCGCCCTTGTCTGCAGATCCGGCTCCGGCTGGACCTCCGATATCATCACATGTCCGACATCCTCCTCCATGGATTTCTACAAGGATTTCATGACTTTTGGGCAGGACTTTGTCAGTTGCCTGTAGCTCTTGTCAGTTGCATGGCTTCGCACCGCTCGACACATACGCCGGACAATTAACATGGAACCCGAAAACCACCGGGTTGTATAGGAATATCATCTTTCAAAGGTCCAGGTTCCATCAGGTTCCATGTGGACCCTTTCCCGGGCTTACACATGGGCTTTACCACTCTTCATCATCGCCCTGGGTCGCAGGTCGCAGGTCGCTCGGCACATCCATGTGAGCTCGCTGAGCTCGGCCCAAAGATGGGGCAGCCGATTCAGAACCCAGCAGACCCGGATCTCGATGTGGCGAGCCAGCACGGTCCAAAACAACACGTAAGATATACAATTGTATACACCTGGGCCCCCTGTTTGGGGTGCCTAATGATAGTTTGTTAGAGGTTAAGGGGTGTCCATTAACCACGCCTAAGGGGGCTCTGGCACATGTCATCTACTCCAAAACCTGAACATGTTGAGGCCTTTGATTTCAACCGACTGGTGCATTGCTCGATGAGGGTGGAAACTGGACGCCCCCCAAAGCCCGAACTGGCTGCAACATGCATCGGAGCTGTCAAGGCCATGTATCCCTTCCCAAACACTCCATGGGACTGGCATATTTACTCAGTTGGGGTGGTTTCAGGGGTCAATGTAGAGTATAAATAAATAAATAAACATATATATATATATAAATATTAAGTGTAAAACACAGTTTTAAAAAGTAAACCGTAAACAATTGGCTGGCTGGGCAAAAGGGCAACAGCCCACACACCGCCGTGCCAAGGGGCATCCATCCAAGTGCCGTCTCCGCTGGGCAAGCGCAAGTGCCCTCGCCGATCGATCCAAAGCAATGAACCTGTGCGTCGTCGATCGGCGGCGACGCGTGGAGAAGGAGCACGAGAAAGACTTGTTTGGCAGTTTTGCAGTCACTGTATGTCCTTTAATGGTTTCTTCATCGCATTGAACACATGCTGAAGGATCTAGGATGCTTCTGCCATGCTTCTGCCCAAGATCCTCCAAATTGAAAGGCTCGTGATGTTCAAAGGGCTTACGGCTTACAAACGAACGCACAAAACACAAGCACATGTCGCTCGAAAACTGCTTAGGCTCCCTGCCGTCATCTAGGAAACACACTGCTTGTGGTGCCTGCGAGGGGGTCGGGGCTTAGGTCTGGGATCGCTGGGCCACCCATGACTCTGGGAGTTCAAGAACTCCTCCCATGTCCGACCAAATGACCCCCCATAAAAAGAAAAAACACAAACAAAAACATTCCAAAGTGGCTAAGCACGAGTTGATGTTTGACCAATCACTGTTGGAACCCATATCATATCGTTCATGTCAAATCTCTTTTCGGGTTTCCCCCACGAACCAGCGAGAGATCAAAGTCCAAGCTCCAGCTCAGCAACCCCACAAACACCATTCGAGCCAAAACAAACTGTTCACCACCGGCCACTTGTGACCATCCCAAACTTCCAGGCAAACAGTTGCAGCAGCCACAGCCGCGAAAAAGCAAAGAACCACAAAAAACAAACACGCGTGCATTCACACACACACAGGCATCGCCCCGATGCTGCGCAACTCCTTTTCGCTTGGGAGCGCCCCTGATGTGCGACCAAGGAGGTGCTGTAGCTCCTTCATCAAGGCGTTCTTCAAGCGTTCTTCGAGGCACGGAAGCAGCGCCTGCCGTGTATTTGCACGTGTGGCAGTCCCAACTGCTCCATGCGACTAGCATATTGACTGATCAGTTGGGGTGGTTTCAGGGGCCAATGGAGGCACATATTCCAGTACCATGGAGTGTCTGCCAAGATCCAATCCAAACCTCCAACGCTGGGAGTATAGAAAAGTCTTGAGCCTTGAGGGAGAACCTCAGCATTTCCATGCATCCCAAAGCTCTTTGGGAGTCACCATCGGGCCATGAATATCTATGGCGTCATCATGCGTACCATCTCCCTGCCAAGCTTTCCCACCCCTGTCATTCCCGAGACGTCCCAGTTCCACCGGCACCCCACATCGGACACCCGGAGGATCCGCCGCCTCAGCACTGGTCGCGAGCAGTCGGGCCTGTGGCCCCAAAGCGGCCTCCAGTCTTTCCAGCGCTGTTTCACCTGGCAGCTCCGGCAGTTCCGGTGCCACGCGACAGGTGGAACGATGGTGCCCAAGCGACAGGTGGTGGTTCCGGATTTGGTTCTTTTCGGTTCCGGAGGAGTGGAGGAGTAAGAAGGATCTAAGAAATTCCTTTTCAAAGATTTCAAAGAAAACCAGGATCACGGCTCGTGGGCCACTCAGTTCGGGGTTTGAGCTGAAAAATCTTGAAAGGAGGCCATGCCAGGTGTGCACAAAAGTGGACCATGAATCATGATAATGGTTCATGTTGGCACACCACCAGGAAGGTGCATGATGAATTCTACAACATGAGGGATCACAATGATAATCAATAATCCCCGCGCTCAAAAAGCTTTTTGAAAAGGATTGGACAACATTGGGCACATCACACATGTCCAAAGGTCTAACAGGTGGTCAAGCACATCTGCATCTGAGACCAAGCTCCCTTGAATTGAACAAAGCCAACATTACTTGCAAGGACCTTTCAACTGGTGATGTTTTGTGCCTAAAAGGTGATGTTCTAGACACCTGTTGATCACTGTGACATGTGAGACATGTCACATACTTACCAATGACCAACCACTACCAGCCTCTGCGAAACACTACAACCACTGCCCGGCAGCGAGGCCGTTTTCCTCTGGGCTTTTTCTCGCCCCGCTCGGGCGCATTCGTCGGGTTCTCGGCGCATCGCGCGTGCCGGTTCGGGTTCTCCGAGTGAAGGCCCTTGAAGGCCTGTCGGCATCGCCCCGTCGGCATCGCCGCGTCTTTGGCCGGAAGGGTTGGAGGAGGAAAACCATACGAAAAAAAACAAAGCTGCATGGTGTAGATGATGGGTGAGCAAGACCCCATCATAACTCCAGTCAATAGGTCAACGCTACTTAAAAACTGATGACTTTACTGTTGCACAGTGACCGGGTCGGGAGATAGGAAAACAGCATAAGTCTCGATACGGTACTTTTGGATACAGTTCCGGGGGGGTTGATGGCTCGATCGACACTTCCACTCCTGACCGGGGGAAGAAAGGAAGTCCAACTGCCTGCCAACCTTTCAGGCCATCCATGGCACCAAGTGCACCTTCCTCCCCACTAGCCACCTGCTCGAGAGAATCATCTGCCCAGCCATCTTTGTGTTGAGATACGCCAACCATGACCAACCGAGCGTCAAAAGAAAACGGATATCAGTTGACGTTCCGACTTCCGATCCCTTTCAGGATTCTTAAGAAGATGTTGAGTTATCTTGAGTTCCTGTCCCAAACCAAGTATGAAACCCATGCCTGCACTGACCCTCTTCAACTTGACATCTCTACAACCACCCGATATCTATGTCAATAGGCCAGACTCATGGATGGTTTGGGTATTCACCCGCAAGCACGGCCCAACATACAGGACTTCAATTTCCTCCTCCTGATTCAGTGCTCGAGGCCCCCGAGGGCCACGCCTACTGACGTCGGTTGACGCCTTCCTTCGTTGCTTTCTGGGACGAATGGGCTTTTGGAGACCACATCCCAAGGGAGGAAACAACATGAAAAACCCTGAAACACCGTTGATTGAAACCGAATGAACGAAGTGGATCAACATGGATCAACGGATCCTGCGCAGTAATTAAGATCTATCAAGATCAGTTCTGTCATCAAGTCACTAGTCCGGTAGTCCGGCCGGTTGGTCGGCAACTGGCGGTCTGAGGGTGACAACCACGGACACCGTTCGTTGAGACGCACGGATGTTCCAAGCGTATTCACTTGTTGAGTTGCTTCTTGTTACTTGTCGCGATGCACTTGTTTCTACTAGCGTCCTTGTAACTACTAGTAAGGCACTTGTTGATCAGGGTTTTCCACCACAAGGACAAGGGATGATGCGAAAGAGCAACTAGCTCTTTTGTGGGATAATGCTTGTCACAGCATGCCCCTTGTCAGGTAATGCCGCTGTCAAGAAATCTAAAGAAACCGGCTCAACTGACGTAATCTCCAAGCTGAGCCAGCCCAGAAGAAAAGGCTCGAACACATTCGAGCACTATACATGCCAGCAACATTACAATTGTTACACTAATAGCATTCTGTCCCCGTGTCAGCCTGCTCGGAAGCGACAACCTGCTCAACCCGCGACTTACTGCGCTGGGTGAGCTCACTTTGCTCTCACGCGTTTTGGCCAGCATATGCACGCGCTTTGCTGTGCCCACACACCAATTCTATCTACTGTTCGGTTGGAGGCCATCGCTTGGACCGGATCTCAGCATTCTTCTGACCAAATCCAAGCTCCCAGCACCCAGTGCTGAGGTTAATGAGTCGTGTCATCTGAGGCTGCCTCCCTGGGTGGTCCAGAATGTGTCGCACACTCACCAAATGTACATCTGTAGATGTATATTTATGTACATTCCTGGAGTCTCAAAGTACCTCAGAAAATGAGTGCAAATATATGTATATATGTGTTTTATATAGGGTCCTGTCCTGTTTTCTAGGGTACTTTGGAGGGTCTAGGTTGATGTACAACCATTTGGCAAAGAACAGTGGTCTGCCAGGAAGTGCTGGTGTGAAGACTTTAAGTTAAAACTGATTGATGCCTCCCTAATTTGTCAAAACTCCTTGTGGGCCTCTGTGGAATGGGCATGAAAGGTCTCTCTCGCTCTTGTTTCCCCTATGGAAGGCTACTAACTTCTCTATACTTTAAACAAGGCCTCATCCCCCCAAACCATGCTTCTTTCGCTTTGACCGTCATGAATGCTTCTGTTGCATCTGCTGTTGCCCAATTTCTGCTGTGTGAGGGCACTGTTTCAGCAACAGGGCTTTGCCAAACTCTTTGGACGCCTTTCTACGACCCTTGCCCGCTGCTTCCGACATCATCTCAGCATTCCGCCAAATCACCGCGAGTGCGAACCTCCTTGGAACTCCAGGGGCGGCGCCTCAAAAGCGGGGGCAGCTGTAGAAAAAGAAAGGTTGAGGCAGGGGAAACCTGTCGCCAGCTGCGAATTGTTAAGCTGCCAACAACTGTCGTGCGCATTGAGGAATGTGCCTTCCGGGGATGTCACTTGCTTAATAGTGTGGATGCTCCAGGATTGTAGCCTTCGGAACAAGAGCCTTTGCTGACTGCTGCTCATTGCAGTTAGTGAAAGCAAGTGGAGGCAGTCGAAATTCCTGGAGTCTCAAAGTACCTCAGAAAATTAGTACAATAGTATAATTATACACAAAAAATAGACTAATAATAATATATATAACTATAAACACTGTATATGTTTGGGGTCATGTCCCGTTTTCTAGGGAGCTTTGGAGGGTCCAGGTTCATCCAGCTTTGTTGGCTTGCTGGTTTGAAGTTCAGTGTGCTGCTTCAAGCACTTGTTTTTGTTGCTTCCTGTGTTGTTGCACGCGCCAATTCAATGCAATAGTATCTTTATTTATTCAATGCCACCCTCAAGGCAAAATAGGGAATGACTGTACCCTAGGGCTCCTGGCCTACCTCCGTTTCGGTTCTGTGGTTGGGGTAGGTTTGGGGGGCTCTAACTGTTTAACTGTACCACCTGAGGATGTGGTTGGAGCCTAGGATAAACAAAGGTCTCAATCCTGGACTTGGGCTTCGCAGGTTGCGTCCCTTCGCGTTGGACTAAAAATGAAGGTCTCCGCTTCCGAAAGATCCACTTCGGTACGAGGGTGAAAGTAGGGTTCCTCACAAAGTAGCGCCGCAACCATGCAGGGACAGATTCCAGTGGATCCCGAGGGAATTTCCATCCCCAAAAGTAGAGACTTTGTGGCTCCCCTCTTGCGACTCTCCTTTTGGCCACCTAGGTAGGTCCAACAGTGGTGGACACCGCCGCAACCCAAAAGAAACTCCAATGACTCCACCTAGGTCGGTCTCCTTATAGCGGGCTTCCGCCGCATAAAGAACCAAGTGGTTGGTGGTGTCAACTCGCTTGACACAAGTTTCTTGCTGGGATATCGAACCAAAATGCTTCAACAAAAACCTCTATAGAAGTTCTTAATTTGATTCTAGATACAAACGGAAAAATGCACTGTCCAGTTGTTTCTAATAAGAACTTCATCCATGCTTTAGTAACATGCCATGGTCTTGAGCCTCCAACGATCCACCAAACCCACTCTCCCACGCTTCGCCTCGGCGATCCCGAGCCACAGAGCGTCGGCAGGCCTGGCTCCGATCCAACGGGTGGAGCGAACAAGAAGCAAAATTCCCTAGGGATCCGTTCTCGTACCAAACCTCAGGTAAGGTACGACATGGACCCCGACAATGGTACGATCATGTCAGTGTCGAACACATCACCTGAGGAGGTACGACTGGAAGCCTAAAAAAATATGACTGGATGCGACGAAAATGGACCCCTATTGGAATGCACAGGATCTGGGTCATGCCCCCTGTCATGTCCCTAACATATTCCACACTAGTCAGCATATATATATATTGTTATATTATAAGTTATAGCTATAAGTTATATATAAGTTATAGTTGGTTTGTGTTCCTGCTTGACTCATCAGATTTGAGAAAACGCCTGAACGACAATCCTGCCCCTGCCGTCCCCAGCTGAACAAATTGAAGGCTTTCAAACACTTTCAGGCTTCAATGCACTTTCAGCACTTTCACTCAATGTACCCCAGGCACTCCATGTAAGGTAAACATTGAGCCGACATTGACCCCCAGTCAACCACCCCTGGCCGTTTCTCGGTCAATATGCCAGTCCCATGGAGTGTCTGGGTACTGCGAACCCTGGCTATTCTTCGCCACCAGCACCCGTCCGTCCGTCCGGTGCACCCGTCCGTCCGCCTGTCGCAGGGGTCGTCGCAGACTGAGGACGCGGAGGCGTGGCCCGTGGCGTTGCCATGTCCCGCGCCGAAACGCTGCGCGTGGTGTCCTGCTGCGGCGGTCGGGTTGCGTTGAACGAGCGCAGCAACACTGCCAGCCCGAATTGACCCTCCAAAGTCTCGTGGAACACCGAGTGACAACAGGATTTTCTTGCATGACACTATAAAATTGGTAACAGGTATATACTTGTAATGACATGTAATGACCCATTTGCTGAAGTACTTTGAGACTTTGGGACACCTCCACCTGCGCCCAGGACCGCGGGTCCTGTAAGCCTTTACCAAGTCCGGTGAAGTACTTCCTAGGTACGGCTGAGCTGGATCGGTTCTGTCCAATTTTGCTGAGCTTCTGTCCAAACATTCTTTTTTGGGGGGTCTTTTTCCATAGGATGAAATAGGCAACATCTGATGTCCTATGTCCATGCATGGATGTCCATGGTTTCTTCCGGGTTCCCGACCTGGACTTGTGCCAGCCATACACGTGCGTATACGACACCTAGATCTGCTGATCGACAGACTACACCCTCCTCAACGTGAAATTACGTGAATGCAGGCGCATTGACGTGACAATGGCTTTCAGAAACAGAAACTGTGGTAATCATATCTCTGACTTCTGAATCATCAGTGAACCTCCCCGCACATCCCAAAAGCAAATCCCTATCAAATGCCTCTATCCTTCCACTCAACTGGGGTCAGTCAGAACGAAACGTGTCAGAACGTTACGGGACGACCCTTCCTGCAGGTCGAAATCGTCGTCACCCAGTGGGCCTCATCCCCTCGTCTCGTTCGACGTCATCGCCTCTGACGTCATCTACTCCTGCTCCAGCCGGTGTTTTCGATCCCCACCACGTACCGAATGACCCAGTCCACCTGTTCAGCTCCACCCACTCGAAAAAGGGTATTCCAGAGCGTCTCTCTGTAGTCACATCGCCTGGAAACCATGGTCTTTTGTGCCCCAAGTCTGGAAACCGGCGAGTGATGAGTGCAATGCCATGGAGGACATCAATTCCTTTCAGATTCCTCCGCACCCGTTCTGGTCTTTTGGGCCGGTCGCTGCATCACGTCCACATTCCCATCGATGCGCACGATCTTGCGCCTTGGAGTGGCGCCTCTGGCTTTACAATCACGAGGTGGATCATTGGACCAACAAGCTGGGACTTAGAGGTGGAAAAAGGGAACATCCACAAATCAATGACAGTTGGACCAAACAAGCTCTCTATATACTCCTCCTACAAATTTGTCCCACAGACTCCATGTATATCCATTTTTGGGGCACATTTATACCGACATTGGGGTGGCTGAAAAGGTGTCAATGTAAGGTAAATATTAGGGCACAGGGCATAGGACAGGGTCCCGCTCACTGGGGTCAATTCAATACATGGAGTGTCTGGGAATATGTGGTTTCGTGGCCGGCCGCATTCACTCTACTGGACCGAGGCACGATCTGTCTGCAAACCGACCCCGTCTCTGCACGCGTTGGGACGACTGGTCTTCAGCCCGAAGCCACACCCAGAAGATTCCATCGGACCTAAACGATCGGAACAAGTGGTGCTTAACAACCGATTTCCCCCCCGTGCCCCCATCCGAAAAGGGCTTCTCCCCCCCGAACGAGTCCTGGGTGAGCGGTGACGTATTATGGCTGGTGACGTTTCAGGTTCATCCGGCAGGCTTTTCAACTAGGGAGCACATGGCCAAACCGTCGAATCTAAGCCATGGTTCATCATCCGAAGCTTCGTCGACGGTGAAACCCCGTCGTCCAAAAATCAACACGTCCAACTCTGCATTTCCTGTATCCAGCTCAGCTCCATGGGACTGCTGTGTGGCCAGCTCGCTTTGGATTTCTTCCAGGTAGCCGCCTGACCAAGTGTACCCGAAAAAGCAACTCTTGCAAACAAAACATCTGCAAAACTGTTCAAGTATGGTCAAGTGCTTTGGTTCTCTTGGAGCTACTCTAGGAAAACACTGAAAAGCGCCAAAGTTCTGCCAGGACCGCGGCTTTGGGCACTCTAAGAGGTGGATTGTGGCATGGTAACCATCTCCAGAGAGCACCTGTTGGAGCATCCAACTACACACTCCCCGGAAGAATCATGGAAGCCATGCGCCACTTTGTTTGCTCGAAGTGGGTGCCATCGGCCGGCTGCCATCCACCGTTGGCCGATTTCAGGGAGAGCTACGTGGCTACGCTGAACCTGCCAACATCGCTCGCTCTTCATGTGCACCAGCAAGTTCAAGGAATCACCCATTGTTGTCAGTTCAACCACCAACTCAAGGCTAGTGCGCCGCACCCTTTGGATGAATAGTGTGAGCCAATACCAATGCAAATGTAAAGTTTAAACCCAAAACGTAAAACAATCATCCAACTCCATCCAACTCCCATATCAAAATGTTCCCCCCAGCCACCCGCCGAACCCACCGTGAACCGGGGCACCCCTCGGATGCCTGAGGGGGGCGGAGAAAAAAAACAACATGTGAAGTTTCGCATCGCGAACCAGCGCCTCGAGCATCAATCTCTGCTTGCAACTTTTGAAGATCCGATTTTTGCCTTCAGATGGTTTCTTGCGATCGGTCACCCTCCGGACGTGAACTCGCTAACGACCGGACGGCACCAGCAGGCGTTTAAATGGCCTAAATGTCCACAAAGAAAGGCAAGCAGTTGAAAGCTATGTCTTTAGCACAGGAGCAATGCAAAAAACCTTCCAAGGGGCCGCAAAGGCATGGAAGGTTTTGATCTGTAGAATCTATTAAAAAATATAAATAGATTCTATTAGTCCAGAACTCAACCACTTTCAGTTTGGCGACCCCTTGAACACTACAGCGAGTCCTGCTATCGACTTTGGACATTGAATGCACTCCATGAAGTTTGGTTTGTGCATCTGTGTCAGTCTGTGTCCAATCAAAAGTCTTCCCACACCATGTGGGTCGATCAATAGGTGAATGCTGTTCGGGAGACGATGGGACTATCCTTGGAGTGTCGATGCTCTCAGAATTCCACAAGTCTAACTTCTAGCAGCTGCTACACCCTGTGAAAACACTCTACGCTTTGTCGTGGTGCCTTTGATGTTTCACATATAGTCTTATACATAGTCTACATTTAGTTTTAAAAAATATCTATATAGTTAACTTAGTTATAATATATGTACATAGTGTTGACCTGCGTTGACTGGTGCTCCCGGTTGCTCCCCTTCCACTTCTTGTGAACATGAGCACTATCATTCAGACTTGGTCAGGGTCAACAAATGAACAGTTTTAACAGCCCATACACAGCAGATTTGCCAGCTACCTCAATGCCATACATGCCAATAAACCAAATGGATCGTTGAACAACAGGGCAAATGTACTCATTGGTCCCTGCTCAACATGCTGTGGAAAAAAAACACCCACATACATCACTCTCCAGGTTACTGAATCTTAAGATCCATATTGAAATCCGGTTTTTCTTGAAAATTTCTTGTAACCCCCACGGCAATCCTCTCTTAAAACCCAAAACCCTGTTTTAAATCTGGAGATCTCCCTGCCCAATCCATGAGTTGTGGGTGCCCTGGGTGCCCTCATCTTCGAAACCCAAGCAGGTCGCCAAGTGACTGTTGGAACTTCAGCGAGTGTTCCTCAAACTTCTCAGTGCTTCCATGCCTTGGCACAACGAATTTCCGTCAGATTGTCTTGGCACAAAGGACCCCGAAACGGATTCACCCAGTTCGGGAAAATACACATCACCCTGTTCACAAAACCAAGGCCTTTTTCCACACGTTCCAACTGCTCTCGCAGGTCAATCAAAAAGTTGTCGGCAAATTTCCGTGATTCGTTGCAGGTGTAATAGTCGCACCAAATAACAAGGAACACATGATTAACACCCTATCGAGGTAAAGGCATGTTGATTACGTAATAATGGATGTGCATAAATACTTGGAACCACTCCTGGGACCCATTTGACCCCCTGCGTTCATAGGAAAAAACCTTGTTATTGGGTGGTTGGTCGAACATAGAGGTCACTCAGGTTCATGATGGTACGTACCCTGTCTCTCTCACTCTTGCTCTCGCTCTCGGGCGATGTTGAAGGGAACACGAAAACAGAAGTGGAAGTGGAAGACAGGAGTAGTCGTGGCAGGTGGCAAAGGATGCCAACTCTTAGCAGTTGGAGTGGTGCCACATGCATATTGAGGTGCAGGAGTGCGTGCTGGGGAAAGGCACTGACACGATTGAAGATGATTGAAGTAGAATCTGCGCAGCCGGTCCGGCAACGAAGGAGCATAGTATATGGCATAGACACACATAAAACATCATAAAACCATGAACCCAGCTTCGCGACCAAGCAGCAAGTACAGTGGCAATTCAGTTGGCTGGGACTTTTCAAGCCCTCCAACTATGCGCTGCTAAAGCCCCACGCAGCCCCAATCGATTTGCGAAATGTAAGGCGAGGAACTGGTGCACAAAAACGGGAGCAGGAACTGGGGTCTGGAGCAGGCAAGCAAGAGGAAAGAAAGTGCATCAGAACAAAAATGCCGTTCCCAGCACAAAAGCGTGTTGCTAGGTACGTACAAGCACCTGCTGCGCTATCTTCTGAACTGCAACAGGGGCAGAAAGCACATCACAAGCGCAGCAGCACGCAAACATCCGGCCGTGCAACTGCCTGGTGCCTTGCAGCGCAAAAAAAATGTGTTTTGAACGGCAACTGTTGCCGTCGCAGCAACGTCCTGCTAGGTACACGCAAACCTGTGGCACAGCTGTCATACAACATATATATATATATAGCCTTATGGTCCTTATGGTGTTAAATAATATGTTTGGTGTAGAGATAATATACGTACCAATAGCAGTACATAGAGTTTATTTGGATCCTCCTCTGCTCTACTCTAATTGGTTTTGTGCCATGTTCAATGAGAAAGCTGGCCGGATCAGCCTGAAAACCAAACAAATTGCGAAATCTAATGGGCAAAGATATCAACGCAGCCAGGTTCCAAGCCGGGACACTGAGCACTGCCACCAAAATCATAGTCCTAAGATATCTCCAATATATTAATATCTTCCAATATCTTTGTTTCGCCCTGCCCCTGCCCACGGGAAATGGTCGGGTTGTTTTTGGTCGAGGCTGGATCCTCCTGAGGCCATCTCGGCTCTCATAAAGGTGACTTCATGAAGAGCATCGTCGACGGACCATCCTCGCTCAGAGATCAAGTCAACACAAATGGTCATGAGGGCCTTGTCAGCTGCCTAATGGTGGGGTTGCGCAACCCAGTGTCCAAATCAAGCTTCTGTGTCATAAAACCCGTCAAGCGAAAGTAGTAGCTCTTCAAACTATCTAGATGGGCGACTTCACACATGGCCATGAAAATGCTGAAAGTCTCAAACAAAGTGCGAAGACTATGAAGACTGATTCCTCGCTGATGTCCAATGCTGGGGGTTCATCCAGCAACAGTGGGAGGGTCAACCCCTCCTACTTTACAAGTGATCTCCTCGGATGTGGAGAGGCTCAAACGAAATTTCCAAGGGACCCATTTGTAATCCCGAGTACCTATTAATAAGCACTCCCCAATAAAAAGACACCACGTCCGAACCCCTAAATTTGGTTTATATTTGGTTTTTAATTACCGCCCTTTCAAACCGCTACTAAACTACCAACATGGTCGATTTTGGGGGTAGTTTTTTTTAAAATTAGGTTCCCCAAAACTCCACCATGACACGCCGCGCTTACACCAGCAGGCTTTCCTTCCCCCAATGGCACGGACTCACGCAAACGCACTTGCCACCGAGGTCATGCAACACCGCATGGCACAGCGACATCACCTTTCAAAAGCTTTTAGCTGTTAGTCTACTGAAGAATCACTATTCTAATGAAGGTTTTTGTAGGGGAAAAGGAAGACCCTTCGATCTGGAGGTTTTTTGCACGCATTTAATAAAGGATTATGTATAAAAATGTCCTGGATTACTTTTTGAGTTTGAAACTCTTTCCAGGTGACCCTATTTTGGAGCCCCCCGATTTCAGGGACCCCCTATTAGAACAAATGCGACTGAGTTTTTTTTAATAGGGGGGGGCCGTGTTTATTAATAGGTGGACCGGATTACTCCTGTCTTGTCTTCTGGCTGCGGATTAGGCTCAAGAGCCTCAGCCCCGGTGTATTCTCTGGAGTCAAAACCTCTGAGGGGTAATTGGCTCGGAATGTCTGCTTCATGGTCTGAACAACAGAGCCGCTCAATTTCGGTGCAAAAGTGTCTGCCCAAGAGTTCGCTCAATTTTGGCTGCTCTCGCTGCGGTTTTTTGCTCGCTCGGGCAACTGCGGGTGACTCTGCAGAGGTCGCGCATGTGGTCGACATGAAACGGAAAGCTGACGCTTGCAAAGCTGTGAGGACTGGAAACTAATCGCCCAAATCTCCGGCAGGGCGGACTCAAAGCCTTCAACAGTTCTGTGGGCCACCCAGCGTCGCCGTCAATGAACTTTTTCTGAACTCCACAAGAGCTCAACAGTTCAGCGAGATCCATCGCCGACACAGAGGGGCCGGTAACCAAAAGCTGTGAAGAGGTTGGCTGCCAACCTGTGTGAGGAATGTTTGCTCTGACCGAAAGCTGTGAGCGCAAACATTACTTCTGGCCTATGTCCTGTTGGCTGTTCTTGAGCAATCACCATTACGGACCCGGAGGTGTCCAAGGCCCAAGGTCCGTAAATTAATCGTTTGATCTTGCAGAGATTTTATGCATGACTCTTGCTGGTTTTGCGCTGGTGTGGTAACAAAACTGGCTTTGAAGACGAAGGAAAAAATTAAGTACTGCCGGGGGACCACCCCCTTTGCAAATGCAAAGAGGAACAGGAAGGAGACTGAGACTAGGAGACGAAAGAAAGATAGAGAAGAAACAATGTCAATGCAACTGCAATGAAGCCATGCGCATTAAAAACACCTAAGCAGCAATGCGCTACACATGTTTTCCAAGTGCGAACGGCGCAGCAACGGTTCATTCGGAATATTCCATCCTTTGCGGCCTGGATGGGAGCAAGGCTCTGGCTGGCCTGTCTATTCGCTCCTGCGTGATTGGCTGCGGCCACCGGGTCAGCGGCCACCGGGTCAGCGTCAGCTTGCAGATTGAGATCTGCATGCCAAGTGCGACGGTGCAAACAAAATGAGATTTCATCTATCTCCTCTTGCTAAGGACGCGGCACTTTGGGAGCGGGTTTGCTGTCTGTGTCGGACTCACTGTCTTGGGATGAGGAATCGGAGCTGGAGATTTCATGTGGGGCCCTCTCGCCTTTGGGAGTCAAGTGGTGGATCATCAACGTCCACTGAGATGACTTGTGGGCGGTCAAACGAGAAAAAGGTCCATGAAGTCAAAAAATGGCTCTTGCATAGGGGCCTGACTCCCCAACGGGGGTGTGAGGACGCCAGCCTTTCCGCACCTCCTCGACAATATCTGCTTGCAGGTGCGGGGAGCCAGAAACGTCATCCCTGCCATATACAGTGATCGGTGGACATGTTTCGTCCACGATTGCCCCCCCCGACACAGCACAAGGATAGAATTCCAGCGTTCAAGCCATGTAGCCAAGCCCTGTGAACAGGCTGCGCACCGCTCGCAGCCCTGATCAGCTGAGACAGCACGCCAGGTTCCAACGGACAGCACCCAGGGTTCCAGGATGGAATTTCCAGCCCAAAGATTGCAACCCAACTGCATTCTGCTGTTGGGAACTTAGCATCCAAATCACGAAGGCACCCCCAGGACCATGAAACCGGCCTATACTATACTAGGACGCCACCATAACGAAAGGGCAAAGCTTCGTGGCCCATTTTGCTGACCCATAGGGTCGTACGTACATTCCCAAAAAGCCTCAAGCACTTGTACTTCCAAAGAATGGTCGATCTGGGGCCTGTCCCGTCCTCCATGGCCGACGTCCGACGTCCGTTCGCTTTCCTTCCTTCCTTCCGACCGACTGACCGGTTCGCTGTCCCGACTCGTCCAAGAGGCTGCCATAAGGCGAGGCCCTGGACTTCGGCATCGATCATCTGGGCGGCGGAGTTCGGCCGCCGTGGAGACCGTCGTTGGGGGGTCTTTCAGGGGGTGCGAGTAGAACACGACGTTTAGATGGAGAGTTGTTTTTTTCAGATCAGATGGAAATGGGTGATTTACAAGGCCAATCAAGGCCATGGACACCTTCAAGGAACCCATTGGGGAACACCAACGCTAGTTGGCTTGAACCACCATGTCCTGAAAAGACACGAACGTGGAAACCTTTTGGTCGGGGGGGTCCGGAACCCGTGCTTCTCTCGGACAATCTGAGGTAGCTTGAAGTAGCTTGAAGGATTAATCAACGCACTGGTTTCTAGGTTAGCGTTTTGAAGCTGTTTTTCTATAAAAATATCTCATCCTGCGAGCCATGTTACCTCGTTTTCTCGCCTCTCAAGTCTCACGCCTGGTTTTCTTGGTGAAGAGGCCACTATCTGAGACCCCCAAAACAACATGAAATCATGCACCGACTGAAACGTTTGCCTCTTCAACACTTTAGCCTCTTCAATCTTTGACCAGGTTCTGGATTGGTGATGCCTGAATTGAACAAATAAATGCGAACGTCGTCCAGCTTCTAAAATGTAGCTCAATAGTCTAAAATGTAGCTCTCAGCTTCTACCAGTGACAAAAACAAGTCCAGGTCTACTAACATGGAAACTCGGCAAGGACGACAAACATGGAAACTGACAGATCGTGCATCAATGATTCAGGACAGGTCCATGTACAGTAAAATACACAAAAACATATATACATGCTTTGTTGTTTCTACGGTGGTTAAGCAAAGCATCTGAGAGGGACCATGGCCTGCTATTTGCATCTATTTGCTGAGTTTGTTTTGTGTATCCCAGAACGGTGTGGAAAACTGTTCCACCAGAAAAAGGTACAACGACCCGGACCAATGGAATAGTTCTATCTTCGATGGAATTGGGAGGGTTGTGCATGCACCCACCAACCATGAGGTTCTGGAAGGGAACATGACCCAAGAAAACATCAAAACTTGCGCCACCCCCTCCAAAGGTTGTTTGTTGAACTATACCGGGTTGAATCAGTGACCAAATTCCAAACAAATATCATATCATACATTGCATATCTGACCATCACCACCATCCCCACCATCCCCAAACCGAACAGGAGACGCGTTTAGCGGGGTTCAGCGGAATCGGCGTTTCTTCGGCCCAGGAGACGCCACAGCGGCGCTCCAGGCTTTTGATCTCGGGCTCGAAAGGTTCGATGCTACGAGCCACCTCAGCTGCAGCTGGTTTGGTGGCTTCGTGGTGACTTCGTTGCTTCGTTTCCAAAGAGCTCGGTGAGGTCGGTGTCCTGTTTTTCAGCCAACTTGGCGGCTGCTGTCGATGGAGCGAAGCGACTGGAGCTGCGTTTCCACATGGGGCAGCGCAGACCGATCTACCAGGAGGTGCGTGCTCTGGGGCTGGGTGCCGGCTGGGTGCGCTCTCCACTCACGTAAGGCTCACGTAAGGGGGGTCTTAAACTCCACCCTGACATGGGAACTGCTCGCATGTGCTTCTACCAGGAGTCACAAGACTGGGTGGTGTTGAGTCCCTAAGTGAGTGGATGTTCTGGGCACCCCTGACCTCCATGGATAGCACCCCTTTGTGACTGCTGGTAGATATATATAGTTATATTGAATATATATATATATATATCTGCTTGGAATAAGTATAATAGTATAAGTTAGTTGGGATTGTAGGAGGTCCATCTTCGCCTGGGACATCAACACGAAACACCAGCAGATCCACGTGCGACGTTCGTTCAGGAGACCGTTCTGTCATGTTCTTTCGTACTGCCTCCTGAATTCAACGATACTTGCCTTGGAAGACCCATCAGTTTAAATGATTCGTGGGGACTGTGACGTGGTGGGGTTGGGACCCGTTGGGATGACCTGTGCCTCCTCCCCATCACTGGATACAAATAAGGTTATGTCACATCTACTGTAGACTTTGCATGAATGCGTTGTAACTGGTTTCGACCCTGCCATCCCCCTGGCACAAACCCAACAAGCATCAAACAACTGTTTGACAACAAATGCCAAACCCATATGTAATCACCACTTGGGAAGTGAACTACACCAAATCCGAGGATATGGAGACTATAATATAATCACTTATTTCTTAATTGCACAATCAAGCCCAAATCGATCTAGCCACTGGATCAATAAGTGTCAATGACTCATGACAAGGGAATGGCAATCTCTGTCGGTCGTGCTTGCACAATGCAGCCACTGCGTCAAGCAGGACATGTGTATCACGTGCCCACACCACTGCATGCGCCATGAAGTGCGTTCAGCTTGCGCTGGCCCCCACGCATGGTCTTGCATCGTACCGGCCCCGAAGCATGGTCTTGCCTTCAGGAACGACCCTCTCTCCATGCCGGCACAAAGGAATGGTCGAAACCTGTCTTCCCAGTGTTGTCTGGGATGCACGTCCTTTTTTTGCGTGGATTACGTCGCGACCGTGGGGGAGGTGGTGGTCCATGATAGAACAGTCAACGAGGAGCTCATGAGCAAGTGGAGTGGGTGGTCCATCTGCCTCATCTGAAGCTGGGTGGTCTATACCTGGAGGACTGGCGCACTTGATCAACTAGAGCGACGACCAGCGGAAAAAGCAGCCCCAGATTCTAGAAGATGCTCGAAAGTGCAAACTCGCCACAGCAGTACTGTTGGGGTTCCCTATGACTCATGGACAGAATCTATGGTGAAAAGCAACCTGTCGGGGATGGTCTCCTCTGTAAGGGCTCACGGAAGCGGGAGGGGTGATGCAAATCATAGATTTTGTCACGCTCCCGCCCAGCTTCCCTGGAAAATAGAGGTTATAACATGTCAGGTTCTTCACTTGTCCTGGATAGGTGCTTCTTTCCATCCTCAGATTGACATCGATTCTGGTCCCCGCAAAGTAACACACCCACGTCGTAGAAGACAATGATCATCCAAAACGGGTAGCCATTTCCGGCCCGAACCTTCCCGCGGTGTGGCTGTCACTCACGTCTCTGACGTGGGTGCGGATCGGGTCGATGCCATGGTTGGAAAACCGACGCTATGAGGCACTCTCTGTGAAGAAGCTACCTTCGATTTTGACACCACACAAGGGTCCTCAGAAGCGGGTGAAGTTTCGAGTTTTGAAGAGTTTGCTGGAGAGATCTGATTTCTGTATCCTGGAGCGTGAGTCAGAACAGGGTGAGACATTTCATCTGAAGATTAAGGGTGAGTACGAGTTCTGGATCAATACATCAGGAGAATTTTGGCTGGGAAGTGATTGGTCGTGTGGGAAATGGGTTCACTCTTTGTGGATGATGCCTGACTTGCAGGATGTGAACATCCCTCCTTGTTCGCACCAGGTCGGTTTTGAGGCAATGCTCCCACTCCTTACGATTTTCCTTCGTAGCTGCAGTGATTCAGAAGCTTTCCTGAAGAGCGATGACTTTCTCGTGAGTACAGCTCTTTTTGTGCACATGGCTTGGGGCCTCATTTGTGGTTTTAGTTGGAGTGATTTGATTCATGTGTTTGGCTTTGAGGGCCTACAAGGGTCACCCTTCGCCGCATCTAAGCCATCTGTTGAGTCGCGATCTCTTGCTAGACCTCAACAGCGAACTGCTCATCAACATGGGGCCCTGGCTTTATTGAGCTGTGAAAGACGTCATTTAGCCGATGTGCCTCAGAGCACTCCGTTCATGCGCTGCCTGAGGGTTTGTAGGCCCAATGACCTGCATTTGCGTGAGACTTGGCACTTTTGTGGAGATCCAAAGGGTTTGCATCCTATTGCCGTCGGGGCTGCCCCTTCGTGGAGTTCGGTTAGGTCTACGCTCCTTCGTCCATACGCGACTGTTGGAGAGCGACTGGATTTTGCCACGCAAACAGATGGGTGGTTATCTACCGATGAATGGGCGCACGCTGCCACTAAGATCCGCAGACCGGCATCCGCCTGTCACCTAATGCCTTTGTGTCAGTACGTCCCTACCAATGATGATTTCGTCTTTGACATCGAGGATTGCCATGTTCCCAACACAGGGGTATCACTCCTTCCGATTCTCTTGGGATCGCACTGGATCGGAGCAGAAATTGACAGAGTCCACGACATGCCTGAAGTGACGCTACTGATGGTCCCAATCCCCCTGAGGAATAGGGTCGAGCGCTTCGTTTGTCAAATGCTCCACATACCACCGCACCGTGTTCGCATAAGTTTCGGTTTGGACTCCTCCCCGCCCCTGATGTGTGGGTGGGTTCTCCTGCAACGTTGGATTGGTTTACTTCATGCCCAGGATGCCTTTTTCAACGTGCTGCATGAGTACCATGCCCTGTCCGAAGACCGGAAAAGGATCATACACAGAGTCTTGCAGTCGTCTGTTCTGTCATGGGAGCGGACAGGTGCCTCAGACACGCTCCAGCAGATCGCCTACACAATCCGACAGTCCTTTTTGACCAACATGTTTCATTTCAGCCCGACTGTCCACACCAGGCTTGATTCACTATCTGTTGTCGCTGCTGGCCAGCCATTGCATGTTTTCCCAAACCATAACATGCCACAGAACGTGCAGCAGACAACATCAGTTGTCGAGGTACAAACGCAAACCATGTCATTGAATGATGGGCTCGTTGAGACTCACACGCAGACCGAAGCTCTCAACATTTCGAGTGAAAGAAATCTTGTAGTACATGCACGCATGCTTCCGGCTCACATCCGACGACGCCTGCAGGAATTCGCCATTCAGCCGGACAAGGCAGCATCAGACGAGATTGATTTCGTTCTGAGGTGTTTCAGGGACAGTGTCCAGGGTGTGTGTATCCTGCCTTGCTGTTTGTGGGATCGGGGAATACAGACAGTGCGTGTCATCTCAGGTCAGGAATTGCAAGGTTGGTCAACATGGGATACACGAGTCTTGATCCTTGCAGCCGATCACTGGTTTTTGGCACAAGTGTACCTAGATGGAAACATCTTTGTCATTCATGTCCATGGATTTCGACTGCCGTGGCCTGCCGACTTCAACGATTTCATTTGTGCTTTTGCCAATTTCCTTGGAATAGGCCTGCCACATGTCCAAGCATTTCGCTTTGAATGCCCTGCTCCCTGGCGTATGTGTGGCTTTTCCATGTTACTTGCTTTGTTCAGATCATGTCATGTGTCCATTTGGCCGACCGTAGATGATGCCATTCAGTATCTACAGCAACACAGGGAGCAAGAACTCCTCACATATATAGGTCAACATGCACTTCAAGCTTGGAACATGGTCACCACTGATCCAGAACTGCTACATTTCGCTTTCACAGTAAGAGCCGCCTTCCTGGAAGAACTTCTCCGTACAGAAGAAAGTGTGACACATGCATCAGGGGGTGCAATAGGATCTGAGTCCAGTCTACCTGTCCTGACAGACAAGACACGAAATATCCTCATGCAACACGTCCGCTCTCATATGCCAGTGGATGGAATTTGTGCTTGTATGACCAAAGGGTTCACTGCGCAGGCTACCCTAAAGCAATACATTCAGGATTGGGCCGGTGTCTCGATGGTCTCATGTCGTATTGTGCAGCCAACATCGCCTTTGGGGGACAGAATTGGGAACTTGCAATGCGCTTGGCCCCAGTGCACGCATACTAAAGCTCGTTTCGCACATGTGTTGTTACCGAGGGAAATGTGGGAGGCAATTGGCCCTGATCAAATGGTTTTCCTGATTGAGGCGAAGATCCTATGGCAGGACGGGACACCACTGGTAGATCTTCGATCCCCACAATCTGGCCTGATCCGTGTTGATTTGAATAGGAAGCCGGATGATTGCATGATTAGGGTAGGAGAGCTGTTCGCAGGTGGTTTTTCGGGCTGGTCATTCGGGATCAAATCCCTTCAAGCCGCACATTTGCCCATTCAGCACGTATTTTCGGTGGAAAATGACGCAGTTATGGCCAAACTGCACGCCTGCAACCATTCGCCTCATCAGGTACTATCCAGCCCGGCCCAGGCCGCAGCATCAGGTATCGATGGCAAGACCCCAGTACCAGGACGGGTCGTCCAGACACATATATGTGTCCGTTGGTGACACGGTCATGGTTTAGTGTCCGGATAGGCCGTTTAGTGTCCGGACACGCCCCTGGGCAGGCCTGCACGCATGAGGAACCCAGATGCCAGAACAAGTGTCCGAACATTGTGTCAGCGTAAGCGTTTGTCAGGATAGTCTGTCAATACATCATGCCCTTTCCTTCTTCCAAATCCTCCCTATGCCAGAACAAATGTCAGAACAT